TAAGTCCAAGTAGACTTATGTAACAACATTTTTTTTAAAGATTTGCATGTTGTGTTTTGTTCTAAACGTGTGTCACAATGGATACCTTGTCTTTCAACTGCAAATGAAACCAACCTACATGTACAAATAAATAACCTTAACGGGAATTCCCCACTGGCGTTATATATATACAGCATTCACAAGAATTGGACGGACGTACAACCTGATAACATACAGTAAGCCCTCCAGCCACACCTACACAGAGTTTAAACAAATAAATCCCTAGATTCATCTTTTTAAGACAGGTTTCTGCTCTGGGATGAGCCTGTCAATTACTTGTGTGAATAAGCCTTTAACATATCATGGATAAGACACACAGGAGCCTATTTTAACATGTTTTTAAAGTGGATCTGTGTGTAGAGTCAGGCAGCAACAGTTCCTTGTTTTAAAATGTGCAGAGCACAGATGATACAGATGATAACCTGAAACTCTGAGTCATGGGTGGAGTCAGGGGATCCCACATTAGAATAAAAGGATCCTACTTAAAATTATGAGAGTTCTTCCCACGCTTAAATCTGTCACAACCTTAACTAATGAGTGCAGGGCTGATATGAAGTATGTCTACTTTAAGCAAACATTACGTCTTGCTTGATTGATCATAATCTGCAACACAAAGCTCTCTGTGCAGAAAGGCCTGGGTAAATGTTTGTCTTCCCTGTGTGCATCAGCGACTGTGTACTAAACAAAAGGGTCACCACGCCACAGCTAAGAGCAGGTTATTGTACGTGGGTTGGTGTGTTTGAACACAATCAGAACAAGGTGAGGGGGGACATTTGAGCGTGATGCAGTTCAGTCAAGTTGCAGAGGATGTGTAAACGCCTCCCAAACAGCCAAAAGCAACAGTGGCCACAGGAACTGGTTTGGCAGCATCTAAGCAAACTAGCTTCAAAGGAAACACAGCGCAGGTCTGTGGACCCATCTGTCTCTAACATTACTTCACTTAAATTGTTCAGGTATTTATCTGTTCAGCATTTTTGGCAGTGACACACTTTATGTTGTCATACATGCATATTGACCTAGAAAAAGAGAAAGAAGTTATCGTACAGTATCTGAGGAAACCTGAGCTGAGCCTTTAGAGAAATTATAAGAAAAGCTCCAAACAAAAAGAAACTGGATCTACCTTTTCTTATAATACCCGTTTTGAACTCAAGGGTCCAAACTGGGTTTTAAAGGGTAGGTGGGGTTACAATGGTGTCCATGATTAACTCTATGTGTGTGATTCTGCCTTGTTCCCACACTACTTTTTGCATTTAGGCTGCAGCTAAAGATTATTTTCATTATTGATTAATCTGAGAATTATCTTCAAGGTCCATGTATGTATCTAAAGATGTAAGAGATCATCTTTAAAGTCCAAAGAAAGTCTTTAAATGTCTTGTATGTCAGGTCAAAACCTAAAGATATTCAGCGTAATATGCTATAGAAAAAGATTAAAGCAGGAAATCTGCAAATTTAAGAAACTGAAACCGCATTTTCTCCCATTTTTGCATGAAAAATGGCACAAAATTAAGTAAATATCAAAAAGGTGGAGAATGTATCCGTCAATACATCAATTATTTTATCTTTTAATATGTATGAGTCCTATTGGGAAGTGCCATTAAGAAATTAGGAACAGTTTGTAGTGACACCCTGCTCATTAAAATAGGTGTTTTCATAACAAGCGTTAAGCCAGAACAGGCCAACGTGTTGCAGCAAGTCTCAGCTTAGATTAAAGGGCACCACAAAGGACTTTAGGACTCTGTGCCCACTCACCACAGTGACAGCATCGTTGAAGAGGCATTCTCCGAACACCACGATGTAGAGCTGCTCGTTCACTGAAATGTCCTCAAACACACTGAGCACGGCCACAGGGTCCACGGCCGAGATGATGGTGGCGAACAGAAGGTTCTCCTGGAGGTTGATGTCCTGCACACCAAACGCCTCGATCTGGCAAATGGCAAACAGAGACATGCCGATGCCGATGCTGTTCCACAGAGTCCCCACCACCGCAAACCACAGCACCTGCAAACAGACACGACAAATCAAAAACAAGTGTTCAAAAAGGAGAATATTTTAGGAATGTGATTTAGGAAAATGTGGCTGTTTTTAAACGGACCGTGCCGATGTTCTCAAAGAAAGGCCTGGTGGGCATGAAGTAGCCGGAGTCCAGGACAATGGGGGGCAGCATGTAGAGGAAGAAGGCGTTGCTGGTGAGCACAGCAGGGGGCTCCTCATGGACCGAGTACATGATGCCCCCCACGATCAGACCAATGCTGATGAGAAGACACGACTCTGGCACCCAGATGGTGATCTTGTGGTACACATGGAAACCTGAAATGAAATGGGATGTCAATTAAGTTTAAAAAACAGAAAGAGGGCACTCTGCTACATGAAAGCATCACATATATTCCTGATAAAATGATGCCCTATATTATGTTATCAAAATCAGAATCCCTTTATTAGTCCCACAGCATTATTAGGCAACATTTACAGTGTACAGCCAAAGTGGCATAGAAGGTAGAAAAGGCCAGCAGTAATAAAAAATAAGAAAAGCAAACATTAGTAATTAATTAAAAATAAAGACAAACAAGTGCACAACCATGGCAGCAATTTAAAAAAACGAAGTGACACAAATAACATATCAAAGTATTGAGACCTTGTAAAAATGTATGCTTTTACATAAAAGTGACTATTGCACAGTACAATTGCAAACAAGTGTTTATATTGCACATGGTCAAATGTGAGCTACTCACCAATCTTTGCGAATGAAGCCAGCAGCACCCAGAGAGTGATCTCAAAGGGAATCTGTATTCTGGCGTAATCCATGGTAAACACCGGTAAATTTGCTTTTTCCGCGTCTGGGAAGGCCTGGGGGCCATTATCCGGTTTCACCGGGGGCAGGATCGTGACACCGCCGGTTGGTTTTGAGGGGATTTCTCCACTGGAGCCATGGAGAAGACTTAAAAACGTGAAAATAATGAGTAAAACTCCTGTCCGTCTGGAAATGTTTATATCCATTGTGCAAAAAAAAAAACCTCAGCCCCTAAACAGTAATCCAAATGGATGTGAATATCAACTAATCCATAAAAGGAGGAAAAAGCAAATGAGGTGAGACAAATTCCTCTAAAAGTTGATTTTTTTGTAATTTACTCCATTTTCAACAGTAAAGTCTGAATTCTCTCCTCTGCAGTCTTTAAGGTTGTGAGGTCCGGGTGAGTCTCCTTCAAACTGCAGCAGGACAACACACACCTGTGGTTTACCTGCCGCGCGTCCACGAGTTCCGATACAGCAGGGCGCGGTCCCGAGCCCTGCTCTGATTGGCTGACAGCTGAAGCGGGTAATGAGGGTGGGGCAAGGTGTTTCTGCGGGACCTTCAGGGCCGACTATGAAGTTTCGGTGACACCAGTTTCCTGACCGACTCGAGTTTCCACTTTCACTTGTAACACAAACAGTTTCTCTGATTTACCTGAGGTGTCTTTTAGGAATTACAGCCTACACCATCACAGAGTAAATGACTAAAATGTGAAATAATAAAAACTTATTTCTGGAGTTTGGCTAAAAGTTTGGTTGCAAGTCGAAAATTACGAGATACATTTTGAAATTTTGAATTAACATCTCAACATTTTGATTTAGTTTCCGAAATGTGATATGATTTTAAAATCTAAATGATAACTGATCTTGTAATTGACATAAAAATGTGGACTTGAACAATATTGAATGTCTTAATATTTGTTGACTTGTTTTTTTTTTTTTACATGACTGTTAGGCATAGGCCTACTGTTATTTTTCTTAGACTATGTTATTCCATTTCCATAGTTATTTTTGACTTATCCTATAACGTTGACTTAGTCGTTCAAAATGATGCCTTTTTCAAAAAGATTCATTTTATTTAAAACATTTTATTTTTAACTATCTTTAATTATTTTCTGACCCTCCCTTTGGCAAGAAAAACCTCACCCAATATCTCAAATATATATATTTATGACAAACAACAACATGTTAAAATACAAAATGTATTTTGGAATAAAAGGCTGATGCAGTCAAAATAATTGAGTCTCCTTGGCATAGCTAGCCTGTGTTCACAGTCTTTACTGTCTTGACGTAAATGTTATTTTGCTGAACAAATACCTACACTTTATTTAAGGCAGCAATATAGGTTTTCAATAGCTACAGTTTTCTGTTTGCTGATAGTTTTTAATAAATTAAATTAAATTTCACTTAAACACTGTAACTTTTATTTCATGTCATTTACATTTGTTCCGTTCATGGTATGCACAACTTAATGTCTAATAATTGTTTAATTGTATTTGATCTGCCTTTTTAAACTTATTTGTATTTATTTTATGTTTGCCCTTTTGCAAACTAACATATCTTAGTTGATAAAAGGCGTGTGGTGCAGTGGGTTTTGTGTTGGTGTTCGGATCAGGGGGTCACAGGTTCAAATCCCACTGCAGTCAGCATGTCGTTGTGTCCCCGGGCAAGACACTTCACCCCAAGTTGCTCCTGTGGGGATTGCCCACAGTATTGAGTATGTAAGTCGCTTTGGATAAAAGCGTCTAACAAGTGACATGTAATGTAACGTAATGTAATACAAAAAAACTATTTACATAACGAGCTTGAAATATACCCATCCTATTTCTCCATAGAATAAGCAATCTGAGGTTTCTGTTTTAAGGAATGAGCTGAACACATTTTGTAACACAATAAATGAAACCCTATGGAGAGCTGTGATGTAGGCATTTTCAAGGATCAAGCATAATTTACCTAGATTTGATTGTTTTTGCTAACTTATAACTGAACTTATGAGTCAATATACCTCACCTCTATGTGTGGCCCAGACCTTCGTATATTTTTCCGTATATGGCCCTTGGTGAAAAAGGTATGGACACCCCTGACCTAAAATATGGCACATAAATGAATCTGCTTTCCTCTCAGTGTCTCCCTGCAGACAGACAGCGCCCCCCAGTGGAGGGTGGGGGAACTGTGGAGGTTTTGCGCCTGGATGTGTCAGAGGGAGTCAGGGCGAGTCCTGACTGCAGACATCGTGGAGCAGCGACCAGGATGCGCATCAATATGACAAGAAACCTTCGCATTTCTCCAAACGGTTTGATATATTTATATTTATGTGTGTTTCTCATTTGTCATGTCATCATGTCTTGGTTTATCGAGGGCGTTTATCACACAAAGACAGAACAGCAGCTCGCAGCAGGAGCAGAATAAGACATATTTACAGCCATTGCATGATATGAAATGTCGATGTATCTGTCTTTACTCTTACATATGGCGTGTTTTTACTGTGTGAATTAAAGGTACATCCTGCAGCAGCATCACTGAGCATCAGCAGATATCATGACGCAATAGTTGTTATTGTGCGGCTGTCAGTGATTAAAAAATCATCCTCTATACTATAATGGCAATATTAGTAGCCGGTGCTTCCATAAATAGATTTTCATTGCACAGCTTTGGCCTCTTGTGTGTTTATTTCCACGCAGGCAGGCTGGTAAACACACAGGCTGACATCCTGTTTCACGCAGGGTTACAGAAGGCCAGTACAGAGTTGATGTGGGATTATAGAGCATAATGTTAACATGTATGTTGGTGGTTACACACAGTACATCTTAAACCGGATGTGTTGCTCATGAAGCAGTACGTGTCACGCCATTGCTGTCCTCCCAGATGCTTTCCACAGAGAGGAAGGATTATATTTGATCTGTTGAATCATTGTTTTTACATTATATCATAACAGAGAGGGAACACAATGACACTTTCTGAGGCTCACCTCTAACTGTCCCCTCGGTTTCTGTCTGTGTGCTGAAGCTTTTTGAGGGATACATTTGAGGTTTCTTAACTCTGTGTTTCTCCTGATACTGATCTACCTATGGTATGTGTGAACATGTAGCACCTTAGCAAGTTCATTAATTATGATCAGCATCAAGATCTGCAAAGACTGAAAAATCTATTAGGCCATATTCAGACAAATACTCCCAATAAATCTCATGAAACAATGTCAAACAATGCTCATTTTAGCCTCTAAAATATGATGATTTCCTGCTGTTCTCTTTTTCATATCATAATAAAAGACCTCATTTTGGAATTTGAGGAATTGGGATTGACATTTTTCAAAATGTTCTGACAGTTTAAAGACTAATCAATCAATCAGTCAATCAATGAATCACTTCACCAAAAACATATTAGTAGGTACATCTATAATGAAATAATAGTGTTTTATAGTGTGTGTGTGTGTGTGTGTGTGTGTGTGTGTGTGTGTGTGTGTGTGTGTGTGTGTGTGTGCGTGTGTGCGTGTGTGTGTGTGTGCGTGTGCGTGTGCGTGTGCGTGTGCGTGTGCGTGTGTTCTCTCGGGAGTAAACACGTTTGCATATTCGGCTCCCCTTTGATCAATCTGATCACAAAGCAATTTATAGATGTGAGGATGGAGGCAGCCGCCCATGTGTCCATGGTAACGCCACACATTTTTTACATCAAGCAGCCGGTTGTAGATCAGACTCCAGGGAGGGCAGAGCGGTGCTGCTCGGCTGGGACTGAAACAGGATCAATAGAGGGAAACTGAGAGGGACGTCGGGTCAAAGGACAGGGAGGAGGCTGGAGCGCAAAAAGACAAATTGTGAGGGATGATGACGGGGCAGAAAAAGAGGGACATTCAGGAGAGATCTCAATATTGTATGGTTTTATTGTCACAATAACTACAGCATGGTTGTTGGCAATGAAAATATGAAGTCCCATGCTCATCGGTATAGGTGTCATTTACACAGGGCGCTGGGACATCACCACTACTATTTGAATGTCTGATTTTGTCCCCAAGATCCCAGGAGGAAATTTGTTTTTTTGACAGTTGCACCATATTAGAATAAAAATGAATACATATTTATTTATATATAAGTTGAAGTCAAAATGTGCAATAAAAGTCCTTGTAGCCACTCGGCACAGGCACAGCGTCCTCTACAGAATAGGGACACTTTATACACTCAGAGAGGAGTCAGCTGAGGAAGAGGAGGCAGAGGAAGAGGAGGCAGAGGAGGAGGAGGCAGCTGAGGAAGAGGAGGATGAGGAAGAGGAGGCAGAGGAAGAGGCTCTGTGGTGCAGCTGTGCCTCCAGCAGCTCCACTAACTGGGTCACTTTGTTTTGTCTCCCAGCAGACTGACGAGAAACACCTGAATAGTCTCTGTCCTCTGTACTCGCTGCATGTTTACCATCTTATCGTATTCTTACCTTAAAGCAGGAAGACTGTAATACTCAGTCTCAAACGTTGACCTGTTCGGCCTTTTTGAGGTCAGAGGTCATCTGTAGAACAGTAGCTGTGGCACTTCATCATTTGGGATTCTTGCTGTTAGGCCTGCCATCTCTCAGACAATTGTTTTCTCTTGCTGAACGACTTATTATCAAGAACATTTTGAGCTAAATGCAAGACTTCAATCTCAATCTCAATCTTTATTTATTTATATAGCACATTTAAAACAACCTTCAGTTGACCAAAGTGCTGTACAGGCAATAAATATTAAATAACACAATGGGAGTACAATAATAAAACAATAATTAAAAACATGATACTAGAAAAATATTTTTAAAAAACTCATACAAATGTAAAAATGTAATGTTCAACTAGTATTAAAAGCCAGTGCAAAGAGGTGAGTTTTTAGCTGAGATTTAAAAAGTTCAATAGACTCAGCAGTCCGGATATGTACTGGGAGGCTGTTCCACAGTCTGGGAGCTGCAACACTGAAAGCCCTGTCACCTCGGGTCTTTTTCCTGCACCGAGGAACCACCAACATATTTTGCTGAGCTGATCGCAATGCTCTAGCTGGAGCATGGCGATTTAAGACTTAAAGTGTTGCTATAGCATGAGTCTTGTGGAGGAACTACTTTTTACAGATCTCTCAATTTACTAAACTAATCAAGTGTCAACTAAAACTTTCTTTATTCCAGGTCAGCACTATTTGCGGTTTAATGCATTTAATGCAGAAATCTAACAACACTGCATCTAACAGCTATCCGTCAAGAAGAGCTGAATCATTAGTAATCAAATCTTTTTTTTTTCAAGCAGTATATCTAAAGCAAGTATCTGGTTCCCTCTTTTCAAAGTGAACATTTGCTGCTCTTCATTTTATAACGTTATCATTTATTTAGTTTTGGACATCTGGCCGGATAAAAAAAAGCAGTTTTTAAGCATCAAGAAACCGCAAGGGCATTTCTCACGAGCAAAAAATATCCTCAGATTCTATTTTTAGAGATAATAATCCTTAGTTGTAGAGGTGAAATAAGCAGACACTATATTTTTCAATCAACAGCAGATATTATGATGAGTTATTTATCAGTTAAATGTGAATTCTGCTTCTCGGCACTTTTTATTTGATAAGAAATGTAATATTCATGGGTTTAGACTGATGGAAGCAGCACTTTAAATGTATTGCAGTTCTAGCAAATTGTGATGTGAATTTTCACTACTTTCTGGCATTTGTTAAACCAACATATAAATCAACTGATCAAAACAATCATCAGCATCATTTATCCCATGAAATGGTCTTTAAATGTTTTGTTTTGCACAACCAACAGTTCAAAATCCAAAGACATATCCAACACATTTGAGAAGCTCGATCTATAGCATGTTTTCCTTTGTAGCTTGTCACCCTCATTGTTCTTAATCAGATTCCCAATGACTAAAGCGACATATTGTTTCGGTCCTAGGCGTTTTCTCTCCTTGGAGCAGACGACGTGTCGCTGATTGTCAGACAGATGTGTTGATCCGTGTCGCCCTGTGGTTTTCCATTAGATATACTGTGGGTTTCCTAGAGAGCCTCCCACAGACCCCCGGGCAGTGGAGATTACAGCGTTTTAAAAGACAGCTCCCATTGACAATTACTCCCACACAGCCTAATGAGGCAGAGCATCCACGCTGCAATTTTCATTTCTTCACAGGAAGGTGCCAAAACAGAGATTAAACTGACAAAGCGCATCACACTCACACTCTGGATGTAGTGTGTGTGACTGTAGATGACTGTGTGTGCGTCACTGAGAGATGTCATGTACGCTGCGTTGTGTGTGACGTCAAAACACATTCACGTGTAAAAATAGACCGCCGGTGCTGGAGTCCTTACACATGAATGCACAGCGGTTCACACACACATTTGCTCTCCTTTTGTCAAATAAAAAGACCGGCAATTGCTCTCAGTACCAGATGTGCCATTTATCTACCAGCTCTGAAAAGGAGAGACACATTTACTACTCTTGGTAATTGTTAAGGAAAAGAGTAAATGTTAACTGAATCTGACATGCCACAGGAAATGTAAATATTCCCTCAATTTGAAGCACCGTTAAGCTTAGGTTAGACATCTTGCTTTGTCCTTTTCCTTTCCTCTTAACCTTTTACATTTTCTTTCTGCTTTCTATTTCTTCCTCTGTGTCTTGTGCGGTTCATATTAGTGCGTAGTTGTGCTTTGCAATAGGAGGTAAATCAATATACGGCCAGCTTGACTGACTTGTTGCTGATTCTCACTCTTACACCACCATGTGCCACACTTGGCACAGCCTCAGCTCCTCTCCTCTCACTGTTGCACACTCAGGTGCAGTGTTATCTTCCCTTTAACACCACGAGCAGCCACTTACGCTGTGGCTTTTGCATTATAGTACAAAATGAGTGGCGGATTCAGTGAGTAACACCACACACACTTAATGCAAGTGTGTGAGGTTAAGGAGGACATGTTATGGTCATTTTCAGGTTCATATTTATGTTGTGCCTCTCCTGTGACATGTCTCCATGCTTTAATGTTCAAAAAGCACTTTATTTTTCTCATACTGCCTGTGCTGCAGCACCTCTTTTCACCCTCTGTCTGAAACCAGAGCCCAGTCTGCTCTGATTTGTTAGCTGGCCGGCTCTGTTGTGATTGGTCAACGGCTTAGAGATGTCCCGCCCCTTAGCCTATCACGTACAATGTGTTGGAGCGCTAACCAACAGAAGGGTGAATCCTACATAATGATGTGAAACTGCAGATCGATGAAGATGATGTCTTGTATTTATATCCTATAGGATGATCACACTAGTCCATCACAAGTTATCTTGAAAGATGTTGTCCTCTATATGACACAGTTTCTAATTGTACTCAAAGACTCCAAGACCAAGGGCGCTAGAGAAAGTTGATGCTCAGAAGATGAATCCATTTCAGTTTAATGAACGACTAAGTCAACGTTATAGGATAAGTCAAAAATAACTATGGAAATGGAATAACATATTTTAAGAAAAATAACAGTAGGCCTATGCCTAACAGTCATGTAAAAAAATAAAAAAACCAAGTCAACAAATATTAAGATATTCAATATTGTTCAAGTCCACATTTTTATGTCAATTACAAGATCAGTCATCATTTAGATTTTAAAATCATGTCACATTTCGGAAACTAAATAAAAATGTTGAGATGTTAATTCAAAATTTCAAAATGTATCTCGTAATTTTCGACTTGCAACCAAACTTTTAGCCAAACTCCAGAAATAGGTTTTTAAGCAAGTGTTCAGTTTTTCCTATCGAACACTTTTATTGTATCCTTCATTGCTGTGTGAGGCGCTTTCATTTTGGCTCTTCTTAGACACAGAGGACTTCATATTCAAAATCTTACCACACAGGAACAAGGCAATAACATACTGAATTATAACTTCATATAAACATAAAGTGCCACAGATGCTACTGGGGAAATAACTAATGGTTCTTGGTGTCTTTGCGTGACAAGGTTATCCGTCATATCTGGAGTAAATTGGACTCATTTGTGAAAAAACATTTACCTCAACAGTCTTTGCATGTGTGCAAGAAATGAGGAAAAGTATAAATAGCATGGAGACATGAGATGTGCTGCAGCTCCTTGTTCGTACCCTACAGCTGTGTGAAATGTCACACTTTCCCCCCCAGCAATTAGTTTTCCGCTGCTTATATTAGCACATTATCAGAAGGAAAGATAAGTGGAAGCAGAAACTCCTCGACTCTCAAACATTTTCATCAAAGAATAGACAGACAGACAGCCGACTTATATTAGTTACTCATTGGTCTAACGGCCAGTGGTGGAAAGTACAAAGTATTGTAGTTAATCTGGTACTTGTACCTAACTTGAGTGTTTCCATTTTGACTGTACTTCTACTTCACTACATATCAGAGGGAAATACTCTTTGTGTAGGTCTACATGTATGTGACAGTTACTTTACAGCAGTGGCGGCGCCAGAGATTTTCTTTTGGGGGTGCTGTGGGGTAGCTTCATAGAGGGTGCTCAAACATTTAGGGTTTCCCATTAATGTCCCGGTCGCTACAGTTGAATTTTCTACTGCAACACTCCCCACACGCACATACACAGTGTACCCGCGACTGTTACAATGAAGGCTCGATAATCAGCTCACAGCATATAGGTGTAAGCAGCTGGGGTAAAGTGCTATTTTTTTTATAAGTGGGGGGTGGACCTAACATCCTCTCTTCAAAATGAAGAGATCTATGGATACATCTCTCAACATCCATATGAAACAGAACTGTATTTTCTATATCTTTATGGATATTTTACAAATCACCCTTTTAAACTGTATTCTTGTTTTACTGTCATATAGTATTTCATACCTGTTTTTCATTTATGCTCTTATTTTTTTATACCTATAATGATCATATAAACGTGTGCCTCAGAAATACTTATTTGCATTATTCGTGACCAAACCGTTTTGAGACCCACTGAGATAACTTAGACTAAAGTTAACTTTCTAAACACTGAGAGAGTCCTTCACTTCACCTGAGCTGAGGTTATCTGAGACTCTCAGTCTGACAGGAGAGAGTTCTCCCTCCACCTTGTTGTTGAAAAAGCTCCTTATATCCGTTAGCGTAGCTAGCACCAGATGCTAACCACAACGATCTCCGGTACCAGTGCGCGCTCTCTCTCTCTCGCGCGCTCGCGCACGCACACAAAATAGCTCGTGCCACACACACACAGAGCAGAGCTTGAATGAAACACAGAGACCCAGAAGTAGGCTACTTGTACTGTACTGTAGCACATTATTTTCGAATCAATCCTTTTCCAAATTATGAATTTCACACATAAAAAGACACATACATTTATTGGGGGTGCTTAGGGGGTGCTATGGCCCCCCTGGCGCCGCCACTGCTTCACAGTTTAAGGTTTTTTAACACAATTAAAAAACATATGAGAGTTTGTTTGTAATAAATATACCCGGCGATACATATTACATATTATGATTAATTAGCTGATTAAATATGTAGTTCATTGAGAGAATTTGGATTGTTTCAAGCTTCTCAAATGTGAGGATTTTCTGCTTCGAGTACTTTTATTTCGAATACTTTAGGAACATTTTCCTGATTACGATTGCATATGTCTTGCTTTGACTTGTATTTGAGCAGTCTGGTATTATTAATTTTGCTTTTGTTATTGGTCTGAATACTTCTTCCAGGACTGCTAATTGTATATTAAAGACTGAAATGTGATGCTGGGCCAATATGCAGCAAGTAGCAACCTTTCATGTCTTATTTCAAGCAGTTTCCTTGTTCTGTCCAATTCTTTTTTTAGCCTAGCTGCCATCAGTATGTGAAGACTTAAAGATCAGTATTCTGTCATTCTATGTGCACAGCAGATTATAACTTTGTTGTTTTCTTCTGTCCTTCTTTCAGGTTTATCACAGACACACGTGTGACCTCTCAGATCAACACACAGGGGAAGCAAACGAGCACAGATCTCAGACAGAGTTTTGATTTTAAATCTCCTCGACATTGTTCTGCTCTTCAGTCCATTTTTTTTTCTCAACCTTCTCATCCTCTTGGTGACCCCTCCATGTCGGGGAAGGAGCGCAGCCCCCGCCACCGGCCCTGGTCGGTGTACCGGGCCAACACGTTCGATCTGTCGGCTGAGATGATGGGGCTGGCTCTCTCGGGTAACTAAGTAACTGCTACCATGGTAACCGGTTTCCTTGGTTGGTGATGGGAAACTGTTAACACAGCGCTCCTGTTTCCTCTCCTGCAGGCAGCAGCCAGGATCCAGACGAGCCGGTGCTGGAGTTCAGTGTGGGTGAGTTCAGGAGAAGACTATTACTACTATTCATGCTATATGTGGATCAGACTGTGTGTCATTTTCTTAAAGGTCACCTATTATGCAAAATCCACTTTTTCATGTCTCTTATACATAAACATGTGTCCCCTCTGTGTAAAAAGATTCTGAAAGTTTCAGGAACAAAGATTCTCTCTCTTTTTGTCCTGATCCATTTCTATAAAAACCTGTCTGAAAATGAGCTGATCAGATTTTGGCCACTTTATGATGTCATAACGATTTTTTGGCTTGTGTAACCATTAGCCAATCACCAACCAAGGTAACCTTTAAAACCTGTACACCGTATATTGAAAACTTCATTTACACCTAAAGGCCTCATGAGTCCAAGCTTGAGCATTACTGTAACAAATCTCCTGATAAAATCAACATCCTCATTTCACTGACTGCACAGGGAAGTAATGCCTCTGATTCCACTGTGCGATACAGCTGATTACTCTCCATTATTAACAGACAAACGCTCACTAACGAGCCACACTGTTAGATGTTGGATGATACCAATAGGATATTATGATGAACATGGGCACTCAATCCCACATCTGCTGTACTTAAATGTATTAAGTCCACAGCTAAGAATAGTCCAGAACAAATGTAGTCTTTACTTCTGTTTGAGTGATGTTTGCTAAACCAGCTGTATAAGGAAATGACTGACCTTTTTCTATTTCTTTTAGGACCTGTTTTTAGATCAGTATGTAATAGAAACTGGACTACATGTCACAGAGAAACTTTTGAGAGACAGACTAATGCTTTGTTGTTTTGGTCTTTTCTTGAAAATGTGTTGACAATAAGAAAGTAACAATATAAAGGGGATAATATATCAATGTTTAAAGATCTTTCATCTGCCACTTATTTTGAATGAAGGATGATGTGTCTTTTTATATACTACATCATATGTGTGGAAAGACTTGTTTCATCGCTTGTTAAACCTGACAGCATTACTGTATACAACTGCAACTCATCAAGTGATCAACTTAAAACTACTGCATTGCATTCTACTCAAGGCAGAGGATTAGTGAGCGTCCCACCATTAAACCCCACAGTGTGTAATCTCTCTCTCTCTCTCTGTGTGTGCAGCCTGCAGCGAGCTGGTCACTCCCTCTCTGGACAGGAAGCCCACCAGCTTCGTGGCCGTCAGCTGCACCACACCGCCTCAGGCCTTCTGGACCAAACACGCCCAGACTGAAATCATAGAGGTACACCGCTGTTAGATTTCCACTGCTTCCTAAAAACTATTTAAACCTAGACCTGGGAAAATATATCATTATATCAATATCGCAATATTAGAGTAGATATCGTCTTACATTTTGGATATCATGTGATGTATTTGACTGGTTTTAAAGGTTGTGTTACAGAAAGTGATGTAATTTGAAAAAACATTGTTTTTTATTATTTTGAACAAAGTACAAAAAAAGTCAAAAGAAAAGTAATTTTCTGAATTTACTAGAATTTTCTAGCTATTGAATTATTTGCCTTTACTGATTTTATCAATAATTCCTTATTTCTGATGATTGTTTATTAAAAAATGATTGGTCGTTTTTGGAAGCATCAAATGTTAACCCTACAATATCATCACAATATCAAAGTATTTGTTCCAAAATGTTGAGATATACAGTATGATTTTCTTCATACATCTGTCTCTGTCTCTCTCCCTGTCTCTCTCCCTGTCTCTCTCTCTGTCTGCAGGCCACCAGTAACCCGATCTTCCTGAGCAGCGTGTCGTTCTTCCAGGACTCTCTGATCACGCAGCAGACTCAGGTCAAACTGTCTGTCTACGATGTGAAGGACCGCACACAGGGCACGGTAAACCATCACACAAATACACTTTCTTCCAAAACCACCTGACTCCACTGTCTTACAAGTCTAGACTCATTGGTGAAATGTAACTAATATAAGTATATATTTCTTAACTTGAGTATTTCCATTTTATGCAACTTTGTACTTAAACTCAACTGCATTTACAAGAAAAATAGTGTACTTATGTTGCCATACATATAGCTTAAATTACTTTTCAGATTACAAATCTTTGTACAATTCCATTTAGTGAAAAACATGTATCTCCAAATGTTGTCATTTTTTATTTGGATGTTTCTGAAGGATGGACATTTCCATAGCAATGTCCATACTTCAGTTTATCTTAAGCATCTACAGTATAACAATGAAATCCTTGTAATCTGTTACTTTTTGGTGCTTTTCTCTGACAGATGTACATGCTGGGCACGTCCATGTTCTCGGTGAAGGAGCTGCTGCAGGACAAACACCACAGACTGCACCTGACTCTCAGGTAACAGGAAACACACTTCCCTCTATCAGCGACTCAATGACAGCCACTGCTTGCTGGATGTGCGTTTGGGATGTTTGATTTTCTCGATGTCACTGTGGGTCAGGTCGGGGGAGAACGAGCGGGTCGGAAACATCACGGTCATCGCCTGGCAGATCGAGGAGAAGAGAGAGCAGAGAGCTCCTGTGGCTCGACTCCAGAGAGGAGACACGGTGAACGGCAGGGTGAGGAAACACTTTCACTAACTTGAATTGTTGATTCATTATTTATTTGATTTATTATTCTATTTTACATAATAACAATGCCTACTTACTTATAGTAAAATACCATAATAAAAAAAGCTATATTTCATTAGTTATTCACATAGTTATTAGTTAAAATAATGTGTTTAAAAGCCAAAGGTAATTTCATTAAATTGTTCGTTTGTCCAATCCAAAATCCAGAATTTAGAAGACACATGAACATTATTGTGATTTTTTTTCTGTGTGTGTGTGTGTGTGTGTGTGTGTGTGTGTGTGTGTGTGTGTGTGTGTGTGTGTGTGTGTGTGTGTGTGTGTGTGTGTGTGTGTGTGTGTGTGTGTGTGTGTGTGTGTGTGTGTGTGTGTCAGATGGTTCTCTCTGTTGATGCGAGCCTGACTGAACCCATGGCCATTCAATCCAAGTCTTCCTCTCTGTGTAAAGACCCTGTGCTGAAGGCTGGTGAGTGTGAGCTACATATAAACCTCCTGTATGACAATGAGTGACATTATGGTGACTCACGGCTGTGGTTCTATGTTTCGGTCTGCTTCAGTGTTCGGGGGCGTGATGTCACGAACGTACCGGTTCCCCACCACGGACGGTAACCACCTCCGGACCCTGGAGCAGATGGCCGAGAGTGCGCTCTCTCTTCATATTCCCCGACAGTTTGTCAAGCTGCTGCTGGAGGAAGACGCCGTCAGGTAAAATATCGCGACTGGTCACTGGTCAGATGTATATTGCATATAGGGAACAAAGGAATCTTTAATGTCTCCTTTGGTAAATGAGTGTGTGATATCAGAACTGTTTATCCTGTATGTACTCATTTACGGTATCAGCTTCATACAGTGAAAGAGACATTATCTTAATGATTCCCACTGGTGCCGTTATTGCTAATGGTTCCTTGTAATGTGGGTGGATTGAGGAGTTGGACTTGCACAGCTGCAGATGTTAATTGCAGGAACTGTGAGCTCATCAGAGCATCATGTGGATGACTTGCTGGGAAACGCTTCTGTGTGTTTAAGGGTGTGTGTGAGCTGGAGGAGCTGATGGTAAATCTGTGTGTGTGTTGTTCAGGGTGTGTGTGAGCTGGAGGAGCTGATGGTAAATCTGTGTGTGTGTTGTTCAGGGTGTGTGAGCTGGATGTCCTGATGGTAAATGTGTCTGTGTGTTGTGCAGGGTGTGTGAGCTGCAGGAGCTAATGGTAGTTGTGTGTGTGTTTGTGTGTGTTGTGCAGGGTGTGTGAGCTGCAGGAGCTGATGGTAGATGTGTGTGTGTTTGTGTGTGTTGTGCAGGGTGTGTGAGCTGGATGTCCTGATGGTAAATGTGTGTGTGTTGTGCAGGGTGTGTGAGCTGGATGTCCTGATGGTAGATGTGTGTGTGTTTGTGTGTGTTGTGAAGGGTGTGTGAGCTGCAGTCCTGATGGTAAATGTGTGTGTGTTGTGCAGGGTGTGTGAGCTGGAGGAGCTGATGGTAGATGTGTGTGTGTTTGTGTGTGTGTGTGTTGTGCAGGGTGTGTGAGCTGCAGTCCTGATGGTAAATGTGTGTGTGTTGTGCAGGGTGTGTGAGCTGGAGGAGCTGATGGTAGATGTGTGTGTGTGTTTGTGTGTGTTGTGCAGGGTGTGTGAGCTGGAGGAGCTGGGAGAGCTGTCTCCATGTTGGGAGAACCTCCGGAGGCAGATCATCACTCAGTATCAGACCATCATCCTCACCTACCAGGAGACCATCAGTGACCTGCACGAATACAAAGGTTACAAACACAGAGATATTTCAAACATGTCATATTAATAAAAAAGCATCCTCCCAATTTCACATGGGAATCCGAATGTTGCAAAATTGCATACAATAATACTTGTCTTCATCTTATTAACTCCGATTGGTCAGTCACTGATCTGAATTTAAAGAAATCTTTATTCATTTTTCATAATGATTGTTAGGGACCAAAGAAACGGGGGTTTTTATTGACCCAAAAAAACATTATAAACCAGGAATCTTTAATCTTATCAAAAAGATACTGACAAAACCCAAATCCCCCCTTTGACTATTTGGCCCAATTGCAGTCCTCAGCCCTCAGCCACACCTTTCGCTGAACCAGGAAGTAACCTCCCAAAACAAAGACAATGATTGAATACAAACAAAGATATGTGTTAACTTTGCTAACATGTCTGCAGATAAACAAAATAATGCCAGGTTTAAAGCTAATAAAGAGTTTACCATTCAAATCAAATGTGTGGTTTTAATTGTTGTTCCGGTTGACTGCGACTGAAATGAAGTCAAACTATGGGAGGTGAGGGTTATTACACTATCCAGTATTTGTGGCTGTGATTTTCTTGGTAGCTCACACACTTCCATCTGAAGGAAATGTGCTTTATAAAGAAGGTGTCTCGCATGGTTGCTTATCTATACTCTATATGTATATATACAGATATCTTATTTCCTCCTCTCTGCTTGCTCTCAGGTCCTTCATTTAAGTCGAGTACCTTGAAAGCTGAGAGGAAGTTGGAGTTTATTCCAACTAACCTGCACATCCAGAGAATGAGAGTACAGGGGGAGTCTGGCTATGGTACGTGACTCTAAGTTTTAATTAATTTAATTGTTTGTACTGTATCTTAATGTCTCCTCTTTATTGCTGTCCTCCCTTCAGACCGGACGTACGATGTTGTGACTATCGGAGCTCCTGCAGCACATCATCAAGGCTTCAAAGGCTGCGGCCTCCGAAAAATGCTGCACAAGCTGGAAGAAGCCAGGAAACAGTGAGTAGAGAAAAACCAACAGTGTCATGGTGGTGTTTGATTTAATGAGTGATTCATTCTTCTGTTTTTCTTTCCCCTTCAATCAGCACTTATGAGGAGGAAAGGTGAGATCATGTGAAGTGTATTGATAGTTTCTCATGTGATTTGTATCATCACTGTGTTTCCACAATTCATCTTATTTGTGTCTTCAACACGCAGCCAAAGCTCTGCTGGCCCGGGCTCTAAAGGAATGACGTACCAGCCTCAGGACGTGGTGAAAGCGAAGGAGCTGATTGGTCAGATTAACACTCTGAAGACACAGGTGTGTTACTACACTGAACGTCTGTCTCGAGCCGCCAAGGAGCGCTCGGCCAACGCTCTGGAGAGAACGCTGGCCATCCTCACAGAGAAGGTAACTCAGAGGATAGATTTTATAGTATTTATGGGAACAAAGCTTCTTCTCTGTTCCATCTCACCCTTTCTCTCTCACTCTGCTTCTGACTTCCTCATCCTTTTGAGTTTTGATCTCAACTCTCATTGCCTGGATAAAAATGACCAGTTCTTTGAAGCTAAAAATACATTTTAATAACATTTTCACGGGCTTATATAATAGATAAAATATGAATGCAGCATCCTCAACACACCTCCACATCACAGGAACACTGTCATCCCATGATAAACTATTTATTTAATTTTAATTAGATTTTTATCCATTTTACAATTTTTTTTAATCTAATTTGGAAGTATGTTTTTTCAGTTCAATTAATAAACTCTTAGTTAAGTCTGTTAGCATTAGTGAACGCACACTGTTTAAAACATGTATTGTCTTAAACGTAATGCACTTTGACATAATCAAGATACCCTGTTGTTTTATGTTAAAAAAATAACATCTCTCTCTCTCTCCTCTCTCTTCTCTCTCTCTCTCTCTCCTCTTCTCCCTCCTCAGACTCGTCAGCTGGTGACCGTGTGTGACTCCAAGCTGCTCTCCTCAGCCATCCTCGCCCTGGCCGCCGCCCGCCCAGAGCCCACTCAGCGCAGCACCCCTTCCCCCTCCTCCTCCTCCCTCTCACCCTCCTCCCGTCCCCCCTCTCGCTCCCCCTCCCCTCGCCACTCGGCCTCCCCGTCCCGCGCCCCCACCTCTCCGTCCCGCCACGCATTTCCTCCCGACGGCAGCGACGGGAGTAGAAACAAGCGCGCCTCCATGTACGCAGATTTACACGAAGATGATTGGGTAGGAGGAAAGTCCAACTGCTTCTTTGATGTCTGTGTTTTTCTCTTGTCTTTATTTATCATTTGTGATTTGTGTGTGTGTGTGTGTGTGTGTGTGTGTGTGTGTGTGTGTGTGTGTGTGTGTGTGTGTGTGTGTGTGTGTGTGTGTGTGTGTGTGTGTGTGTGTGTGTGTGTGTGTGTGTGTGTGTGTGTGTGTGTGTGTGTGTGTGTGTGTGTGTGTGTGTGTGTGTGTGTGTGTGTGTGTGTGTGTGTGTGTGTGTGTGTGTGTGTGTGTGCAGGACAAGGTGTGGCTGAATGTGAATAAGAGCCTGGACTGTGTGATCCAGAGAGTGGACAGCCTGCTGCAGAGAGACAGAATGCAGAGCGACAGCAGCTCCGAGGACGTCTTCGAGCTCGCCAACGAGGAGCCGGGGAAAACCAAGAAAGGTACACACACTCAAACACCCACACAGGCACACACACACAGGCACACACACACAGGCACACACACAGGCACACACACACAGGCACACACACACAGGCACACACACAGGCACACACAGGCACACACACAGGCACACACACAGGCACACACAGGCACACACACATACATTGTGAAGGCAACTTCTTTTGTAAAAAAAATATTGCCACAAACCATCATAAGGTTGTGTTGATTGGCACAGCACTACAGGAAATGGAGAAAGAATTGCTCTAACGAAAAGTGGGATTAGATGGAACATTAATGTGTTTCGTGTCGTGTGTGTTTTTTTTTAAATTATTATTATTTGTTATTTATTTTAACATTTTGTATCTTTCTTTTTGTTATTTTTATTCTTTCTTTTTTATTATTAATGTTATTTTCATTTAAGTATTATTACTTTTTTTTTTCTGTTGGTGAGATGGTATTATAATCCCATCGTTCTGTCCTGTCCTTCATTTGTGTCTCTTGCCTGTACTAAATAATTAAACACACACACACACACACACACACACACACACACACACACACACACACACACACACACACACACACACACACACACACACACACACACACACACACACACACACACACACACACACACACAGTGCTTGTGCATGCATGTGGAGTAATCCTGAGTGTAAAGACAAGGATTTACCACCATCATCCTCTGTCATCCTCCATTATCATCTCCATCCTCACAACCACCACGAAACCATCAACAACCATCATCATCGTCATTCTCTCTGACACACACACAGGTTGATATGAGCTGCTTCAGTGTTGCTCAATGTTTAAAATATAATAGTGTTACAATAAAAGTAGAATTGTGTCCTTAACTAAACAAACGTTCTCTCTCTCTCGTAGAACACAGCCCAGATAAAGAAAAGAAGTCCCCGGGTAAGAGCAATATTCCGGATGTGTTTCACAATGTGTGTACTCTCCCTGTGTGTTTGAGTGTGTTCCCTGCTGTGTCTCAGGAGAGTGGAGCGAGGCTCTGTACCCGCTGCTCTCCACACTCACAGACTGTGCGTCTCTGATGAGCGACAAAGCCAAGAAGGCCATGGTGTTTGTTCTGATGCAGGACAGCGCCCCCACCATCGCCCTGAGCCTCACCATGCAGTACCGCCGCGACGTCGTCTTCTGCCAGACGGTCCGTCAACTTACATCTTCCCCTTTTCCCCTCACTTATACACATGTAGCTTTTGGGAAATGATTTGTCATCACACAGTGTGCATCGTGCCTTACAGTATTTCTACTTTTAAAGTCATAGGTGTGAGTACTTCCTCCACCTCTGTGTTGACTTGTGTGTTTCTTCTGACAGCTGACGGCGCTGATCTGCGGCTTCATCATCAAACTGAGGAACTCTCTCTGTGACTCGGGCTTCCTCAGACAGCTGCACACCATCGGCCTGCTGGTGCAGTACGAGGGCCTGCTCAGCACCTACGGTAACCTGTGTGTGAGGATGTGTGTGAGGATGTGTGTGTGGAGTCATTGTGTGCATGTATGCTTCTTAAGAAATGGACCATCACACAGCAGTAAGAGAGTGCACACCTCCACCACGGTTACAAAATCTTGCAGAAATGGGTTTGGTTTGTTTGTTTTTTATCTTAGTAATGTTATATCTTGAGCTAGATTAGCTTAAAAATAGACATTGTGATAGACAGGCTGTGAATCCGGTCCAAGAAAATAGGGTTTCTTCGCCTAAAATGTGAAGTCATGAGCACTAAACAGAATTAATATTAAGACGTCCTGTGTTTAACTGGCTTCAATGGCAATACATGTAAGGAAGGTAAGGCTGGTTAATGAAAATAGGACATACTTACAAAAATAATTGATAACCTTTTATGGGAAAATGTAATGAAATGAACAAAAACTAATTCAAAAAACCTTTGGGCTCATACAATTTAATTTAGCTTTATCTATGTTAAAGTTTGAGTAAAATTAGTTTACAGTCATGAATACGTCCTTTTTATTTGCCATTCATTAAAATCTATTTTATACATTAAAGTCTTATTTTTATCACATTTCTCAGAATATTATTGAAAAGTTTTAAACATCTGAGGTAAAACTACAGAAGCCAAACCATAACATCTTAGTTGACTTTATGATGTAAATGTTCTTCATGTTTCTTTCTTGTCTCTCAGGTGAGGAGCTGGCCATGTTGGAGGACATGAGCGTGGGAGTGTTGGACCTGAGGAACGTCACCTTCAAAGTCACCCAGGCGACCTCGGCCTTCTCCCCGGACATGATGCCGGTGATCACAGGAAACAGGAACGGCTTCAACGTCAGGGTGCCGTTGCCCGGGGCGATGTTCGACACGTTGCCCCGGGAGATCCAGAACGGGATGCTGCTGCGCGTCCAGCCGGTCCTCTTCAACGTGGGCATCAACGAGCAGCAGACCATGGCCGAGAAGTGAGTCTCTGACGCTGGAGGAGAGGAGGGTGGAGGGGTGGAGGGGTGGAGGGAGTAGGACAGGAAGAAATGAAGAGTCTAAGAGCAACATTTGGATGTATAGGTCAATAGACATTGTGGTATGTTAAGCTTAGGTGTTCATACTCAAATTTCTACTTCAGCGATTTTACCAAATATAAAATGGGAAAGCTCTTTAAAATACTCTCTAAGCATCAGGTTGTATATCATTTGAATAATTGAATAGATTCTGTCTGTAAGGTTTTTTTTATTAAAATAATGAATACAAAATCAATTAAAAAACTTGGCTTATCAATACTGTTTGGTAAATATATATTCCCCAGAAAAATCCAAATATTTTAAACCCAAAATATGAAATAAAATAAATGTGAATGACCAACTATTTAGCTTATTCATAAGGTTGAAATTGGAAAAAAAACAACTTTGTGATCCATTATCTTGAAAACATTTATATATAATATACATAAATGCTATGATATAATTAGATGAATATACAAAAATGCTCATTAAAAAATAAAAACTATTCGCAAATCTGATAGTGTAAATAAGAAAATTAATAAGTAATAAAGTAGTTTCATATTTTGTATTTATGACTTGGAAGCCTTTAAAAAGCATCCGTTTCCTGAATGAGCAGAGAGAGAGAGGAGAGAGGCAGAGAGAGAGAGGAGAGAGGCAGAGAGAGAGAGGAGAGAGGCAGAGAGAGAGGAGAGAGGCAGAGAGAGAGAGGACATAATAAACTCATGTTATACAGTAGGAAAACAAATGATATTTCTCAAGAACACTACTGACTTTGATTGAGACATTTATAAGACACGTGAGATGGTCCTGAAGGATCTGAACTCTAATATCCTGCTTGTGTCCAGGTTTGGAGACACGTCACTACAGGAGGTGATCAACATGGAGAGCATGACGCGCCTCAGCTCCTACTTCGATCAGTTCAAAGAAGTGCTGCCAGAAGACTGTGAGTTACATGAACAACACTTGTATCAGAGGTTAAATGTGTATCTTGTTGTTTTATTGGCTCCCCCGGTGCTCCTCAGGCCTGCCTCGCTCCCGCAGCACCACCAGTGTCCCCGATCTGCTCAAACAGCTGAGCCTGAACGTGAACGCCAAGAAAAACAAGAACGTGGAGATTTTGTGGCAAGCAGCCGAGGTAAACTCACTCTTCATCACTTCTCTGTGTGGTCTTCTTCACATCTGCAGTTTGCCTCATCAATAAGGCCCTGAACCCCCTGGACTCTTGTCCCCTCACACAGACTCTACACTTTACATGATCGTCTTCTCATCTGTCGGCATGCATTACATAAACACATACTGTATCTGTGGGATTATAGCTCTGGACGTTGCATTTCTTCACACTGTAAAACATGTATTGGGCCATTTGCACATCTCTGCAAGAAAGTATTACAACTGCACCATTCTTCATTCAAATATATTGTTTTTTTCATAATTTGATTGCAGTTATCTTCTATTATTATCTAACTTTTATACTTTTGTATTCATCTTACTTGGTTAATGTTTTGCACCAAAGCATACTCCTTGGTCAACTGTGCATTTTCATGCACAAAATAACCAATTCTAAAAAAAAAAAAATTTTATTTTAATTTGGATATTCTAAATATTTTTCTAGTATATTTCATATTATTTATAATTCTTTTCATGGTTTTTTATGTTCTTCTATTCCTCATTCTTGTTTTTTTTTATTTAATTTACATTAACAATATGCAACTTTGCCCATTTCTGCAAAATACTACTATCCTTAACAACTGCACAGCTCTTTCATTTTAATTCAAATATATTATATATATTTAATTGTACGTGTTTGGTTTTTTATTGCACATTTCTTCTATACAGGTTTGATTTGAATTCAGATATATACATATATTTTAAAGTTTTTTGTGTTGACTTTTTCTTCCATATCTATGTTTATGTCCTCTTACGTATGTGTATGTCATGCACCAATACACAACAGCATTTTCCTTGTGTATAAAAACCTGATTCTGCTGTAAAATCTCCTCTCATCTCACTCTCCAAACCCCTGAAGGCGTGCCGGCGTCTGAACGGCGTGCGCTTCACCAGCTGTAAGAGCGCCAAGGACCGCACGGCCATGTCTCTGACCCTGGAGCAGTGCCAGGTCCTGCAGCAGGAGCACGCCCTCGCCCCGCAGGTCTTCTACCAGGCCCTGGACTGTATGCGCAGGTCAGCTGATCATGAAGGTCATAAATATCAATCATGTAACCAAACCCCTGGAGCTCATTGTAAAAAATAAAGAATGCATTGCTTGTGTGTCTCCACAGTGAGGGCTGCAGGAGAGAGAACACCATGAAGAACGTGGGATGTCGTAAATACGCCTTCAACGCTCTGCAGCTCAAGGCCTTCCCCAAACAATACCGCCCTCCAGAGGGGACGTACGGGAAGGTCGAGACCTAATCTGAACTGGAGGAAACCCAAAAGACTGGAGGGGATTACGATGATAGCACCACACAAACAGAAAATACCGAACTGGAACAACAGTCCTTTGTTTTGTGCTTAGTCACTGTTACGATAATAAATGTCCAAGTGCTACTGTAGATTGTTTTCTAGCCGTTCCCCCCCTCCTCCAGTAGTGCTAGAATCACACACTTTTCACGACCACTTCACAGACAGAGACGGTAGAGATGGCTTTCTGTGTCACATTGTAGCCTCTGTGCAGAAAACACTGTGTGCAGACGACCAGTCGTAGCATCAGGAGTACATCGTGTCCGTAGAAAAAAGGTCTGAAATAGTGTCAGTCTTTAGAAAGACGATGAGGGACACGTTTGTTATTTTCCTTTTTTATTTATTTGATCAGATTGTCAGATGGTCAAGGCTGAACCATTTTTGATATTGCCACAAAATTGATTGCAAAGACTAAGACGAACAATGAACATTGGTGCCAAAAAACTATGAAAAGCACATCAACGAGCCACACTTGCACTGGCTGACAGGTCCCTTATTACGGTGAACATGGGCATTGTAGTTTATTTTGAGTAAATGCCACATACACAAAGTTACTGCTGTAAAACTCACAAAATGTGTATTTATCCACCCCTGAAAAGTCCTAAACAAATGTTCACTCCTGCTTGATTAACATTTACGTTATGAACTACAGTGCCCAGCTGTTTGTGGAATTACAGAGCACCCTTAAAAAAGAGTTTAACTATATATCTGTGAGCAGATTTTAAAGATGGGCTTGGAGCTGAGAGACACAGAGAAAATAATGCATTGTTAATTTTGGTCTTTTAATTGGATTTGTGTTGCTGATGCTGTGTAAGATTTTCTCTTATTTGTGGAATATGAAAAGATACACATTTAGGCGAAAGACAACAGCAGTAAAAAAGTGTTGTCTGGAGAAAACAAAATTAGTTAAGCTTTCTTGAAAATGTGTCTTTTAAGAAACAGCTACAATTCTAGTAGTAGTAGCTAGTGTAGCTTTGATTAAAAGATCAGAGCTTTGATCATATTTTTCTGGACCTAAATTGAGCTGCAGAATGACTGTAGGCGTAAAGAAGTCAAAGCACTCATTTGATTCATTACAGAGCTTTTAGCCTGCTGTCTATTTCTATCGCACTGTCTCTCCTTTTTCTCGTATATAACATCACTTTCTAAATCAAGCACATACCCGACCCCACAGTGTGGCATTTGTATAATGATGTCTCAAGCTAATGTGATTTCTCTTCTGATGCTACACTGGAAGCAGTGAGGGTTTACAAATCGTGGTGCGTCACATTACTCTATAAACATATCGACGGATATTTAGGACATTTTGAAATGTATATGCAGCACTATGGTGGTTTGATAGCCATTGAAACTTGAGTTGTTATTGTTTACAAAGCTTGTGTTGAATTATGCAGAATGAAAATTGGATAAAAACCACGTTTATTTAACCTGCATGAAGATGATTTGAAAAACTGCTTTTTACTATTGCAATTGTATACTGTTGCAATGTAAGAGTTTGAGCACTTGATACATGTTTTAAGACTGAAATAATGCATATTGCATTTTTCTCCCAACATCAACAACACCTCTTCTGTTGTACCAGCGCTATTGTACCTTATTGTACAAAACCTACAGAGACAGTGGATTTTATTTTGAATATGTTATTTTGCTTACATGTATTTATGTTGATACTGTATGGCTGTTGTTGCCAAATGCTGTTATAGTTTTATCCATTGTTAATGAGTAAGTTAGGACCTTGTGATCCGTTGTACACGCACACAGGCTGGAGGGGGGGGGGGGGTAAAGATGCTTGCACCCCCACAGAGGTATGAAAAGAAACTGGATAATGAATAAAGGCTTGCCAATGCCAAGTGAGTGTATCTATAAATTAAATGACCTTTGTGAATTGAGCAGCAAATATTTCATCATCTAACATTTTGTCTCATAGAGAAGCATCTTCAAAAAGTAGCTGCACAGTGATATGTTTGAAATCTGTCAGAATAAATATCTCTATATTTATTTTTGTCTTATCTATGAATGAATTTGAGGAATTAACGGTAGGTGTCATAAAATTCCACAAAAATCCCTTTACTTCTTTTTGGAAATAATCATTCAGTCCAGTGTTACCCACGGAAGTGCTACCTAAATCACTTCATACATCGATGGTGTCCTGTTGGTTATACTACAACACTTATTTTGAAAATAATAGGCTATTGCATAATTGTAGTGAATGTTTCTTGTGGAAAATAATAAATGACTAGCCTGTTGTTAATGCAGTGCTACCAAAAGCACTTTACACCTCATGGTCTACTACTGGTTATTATAATACCTAACACTTATTGTGAAGAGTGGTTTTTTGTGACCAGCATTTTATTATGTTTTCACTTGTTGACTCAAACATGCAGAACGTAAATAGAGACAAAATAAATAAGGACGGATGCCCTATGAGTCCTACTCTTTCAGAATAATAATAATACAAAACTGCATTATTTGAAGTCGCTGGATCAAATGACCCATGCTTTTTGAGAATATTCCCAGCCTTCCAGGGATTTATTTGTTCCTACGTATTATTTGGTAGCAAATTTTCCCACAAGAAAAAATCACCAAAATGATGTAAAAGTATATCATTTTCAAAATTAGTATTGTAGTATTTAGGGATGTGAAGTGGTTTGGTAGCACTTCTCTGTAAAACCACAACAAACGTGTGTTCCCCTTTAAAAGCATTACCGGAAATGTCGTCATTATAGTAGATGTCCTGTTTGTTAAAGAGGAATGACTTCTTCTGTAAAACAAATGTCCAGATTGGAAATGAAGATGCTTACTCTGTGACCCCATTTCTACTGTTAATTATACATTTACTACATTCCTGTTTATATTGTTGTGTGTATGTGTTGTATTTAATACATGTCTGTTTACATTACGGGTAATCATTTGCAATACTTTCTACCTACATTTAATTTTTTCTGTATTTTATTCATGTTAATGTATAAGCCCTATATTTTAAATTGCATCATTCTATTTATTAGATTTGTATGCTTTTACTTGCCTACTTTTCTACACGTTGTTCTCATAACATCATACAGTGTTTGAACAGTCTGCTCTTAATCCCGGTGCAGTTTTTGGTGTCAGAGTGAGACCTCTCTCCATGTGTCTCCTCTCCGTCTCAATCTGTCTGCATGGCGCTGATTATCAGAACTGTTGTAAAACCATTTCACAGATTCTGCAGCAGGTGAGAGACGAGGCTTTCACACTTTAAAGTTTAAACACTGGAGAGATGTTTGAGCAACTTCACACAGCTTTGCTTCCTTTCATATATTTCTTTCAGATAAATCGTGTTAGCTTGTTGTGTTTCAGTTCACTGTATAAATCAGAAACGCGTGAAAGACATTCTCAGACTCGTTAAAGCAGAAATCACAGACATGTGATTACAGTATTTAAACTCTCACATGATGAGATGTGGTGTGTAATTAAGTACATTAACCCAAATATTCTATTCAAGTACAAATGTGAGGTACTTTTACTTGTATTTGTTCTTGCAAATATTAATAAGACAACATATAAATCAACTAATACATATTTAAACATTTTACCATCTGCAACACTAATGTCATGCAACATACTGTATTTCTGATTCTTAAATAGGCAAATCATCTCTTCATGATGAGTAGGCAACTTTTCCTTTTGGAAGTTTAAATCTACTAAAGTAAAATGTTCAGGACTGTCTGTATATGGGGTATTGTAAATACTGTGGCATAAATACACTTTCAATATGTTTTGCATGTGTGTTAATTCCAACTCTGATAATAGATACATTTTTTCACTGAATGATTAATCAGAGGCTGATTTATCATTAACTTGTGCTTGCATAACTCCTCCCATTCAGTCCACTGTTCTCCATTCAGTCTCTGACCCTCTTCTCGCTGCTCAAAGGTTGTTTGCAGCTGACCGGCGGTGGTTCCACTCTCTGAGAGGAAGTGAAGCAGCCGGAAAACACTACTGTTCATCTTTCTCACACTCAGCTACAGGTAGGAGTCGTCTTGTTAAAAATGTACCTTTGTTTTATAAGTTAACTAAAGGGGCCCTTGTATGCTCATTTTCAGGTTCATATTTGTATTTTCTGCCTCTACTGTGACATGTCTCCATGCTTTAATGTTCAAAAAGCTCTTTATTTTTCTCATACTGCCTGTGCTGCAGCACCTCTTTTCACCCTCTGTCTGAAACCAGAGCCCAGTCTGCTCTGATTGCTTAGCTGGCTGGCTCTGTTATGATTGGTCAACCGCTTAGAGATGTCCCGCCCCTTAGGCTATCACGTACAATGTGTTGTAGCACGAGCCAATAGAAGCGCAAGTGTTACATAGTGATGTCACAATGTTCCCGGAAGTAAACAAAGGAGTCCAATGGAGGTGTTACAGGCAGGGGGAGGGGGTAGGATTTTAGCCTTTGCAGACCATTTACTTGCACAAAAACCTATACAACACTAAACAGTAAAGGAAAATCCCCCCCAAAGCATAATAGGGCCTCTAAATTAAACAACCAGAAATGTTACTGAAACATTGATATAGTGAAAACATTATCTGCAGTTTACTCATGTTCTAGAGGAGTCGTAGTGTAACAGAGCAGCTATGTTTTTGTTGTCATTTGACTGAAGTGTTTGCTCCTCAGGCTCCACGATGAGTAAGAAGCTGCTCCTGGATGTGGACTGTGGGGTGGACGACGCTCAGGCCATCATGTTGGCGCTGGCCGCCCCCAACGTGGAGGTCCTGGGGGTCACCTGTGTCCATGGAAACACCACGGTGGAGAATGTGTGTAAGAACACACTGCGAGTTCTGCAAGCATGCAATAAACTCGAGGTGGGTGCAGCACTGCTTTCTATACTGTGCAGGTATTTTATGATCTTGACACGGTAAACTGGGGAATATTGAACAGGGGTTTCCAGACCATCGTAAATGTGTGAGAGGAAATTACGTGTGTCATGTGTGCTGTTTATAAAAGTGACCGACAATGAGTTGTGGTTCCTCAAGCAACACGACCAGAGGCAGGAACTGGACCAATGTACACAAGCAGTATGAAGACAGTTAACTTCAGTGGAAAAGTTTCAAGGCTAGGCAACTTCATTTGTATAGTACATTCGTTACACAACGGAAATTGAATAGGGTCAAATTACATTGAAATACAGCAAATGTAAAAGATTTACAAACATAAAAGTGCAGGAAAGTTCTCTGGTTGTGGCTATGTGATTTGAAAAGATATAAAATGAAACATCTGACAGAATATTATTATTATATTAAACACAATTAATTATACAGGAAAGCTCCTTTTAAAACTATTTTTTCATTTTTCTCATCGTGTAAATCATCATATCTTTTACATTATAATAACAAACTGATTGAAAGACATGTAACAGCTATAATATTTCATTGTGGGTTCTTCTTGTCATGAGACAGATTCCAGTGTTTAAAGGAGCAGCGAAGCCGATCCTGGAGAACAGCCTGAGTGCCGGACACTTCCACGGAGAGGACGGGCTGGGCGACGCTCCGGACCCCGACGCCCCGGGACTGGACCGTCTGCAGGAGGAGGGCGCCGTGTCCGCCATGATCCGGATCATCAACCAGAACCCAGGACAGGTGAGGTGTGTGTGTGTGTGTGTGTGTGTGTGTGTGTGTGTGTGTGTGTGTGTGTGTGTGTGTGTGTGTGTGTGTGTGTGTGTGTGTGTGTGTGTGTGTGTGTGTGTGTGTGTGTGTGTGTGTGTGTGTGTGTGTGTGTGTGTGTGTGTGTGTGTGTGTGTGTGTGTGTGTGTGTGTGTGTGTGTGTGTGTGTGTGTGTGTGTGTGTGTGTGTGTGTGTGTGTGTGTGTGTGTGTGTGTGTGTGTGTGTGTGTGTGTGTGTGTGTGTGTGTGTGTGTGTTCGTGTGTTCGTTCATGTAATATTTGAGCAACAATTAGTCGATGGACAGAGAATGAATCCCCAACTTTTTGGATAATTTATTAATCATTTTTATATATATCATGCAAGTGTTGCAGAAAGATGCTGTTTTCAGCCTTTCATACAATATATGTTGATGTCCTGATTCTCTCTGTTTTATATCATATTCAACTGAATGTCTTTGAAATAAAGAAAAAGCTTTGGAGTTTAAGAACGTGGGATGGACAGGTTTCACAATTTTCTGACATTTTATAGACCCAACAATAATGACAAATATATTACGTGTGTTATGTGTGAATGTGTGTTTTGTTTGTGTGTGTGCATCTGTGAGGTCTTAATGGTGTGTGTTTATTCCCCCCCAGGTGTCTCTGGTTGCCACGGCTCCCCTCACTAACCTGGCTCTGGCTGTGAGGCTGGATCCATCTCTGCCCAGTAAACTCAAAGCGCTCTACATCATGGGAGGCAACACTGAATGTCAGTCAAATCATTCACTAGTTTGTTCACACTGGTTGGTGGTAGTACATATGACAATGGGATGGCATATTAGGAACATTGTAGATAAAAAAACAACAATAATTACACAGCTGAGGGGTTGAGCAGAGGACAACAAATCCCTGAGATTAAAAGGTTACATCTTTCAGTAAAAACTCAGATTATAAAATCCTTAATAAGCAAAATAAACATACACATTCTCTATCAAATTAACACATTTAAGAGAAAATAATTGTGCTTAATTATGTTAAGGAACTACATTGTTTCACAAAGTTAGATTGACGTCATTACAGTAAAGAAGTGCCCAGTTGACAGGAAATAAATTGACGACTTTAATCCTGGAAATTCTGAGTTTTTTTGGAGAATATTACCTACTTGTTCTTTTATTTTATAATCGTTCTAATCTGCCTTTGTATGATCATGTAATGGTGTACTTCAGTGTGTAATCTGTGTGTTTCTCCACAGCTCGAGGAAACACTACAGTGTGTGCCGAGTTTAATTTTGCTGCTGATCCAGAAGCTGCGTACATCGTTCTGAACGACTACCACTGTCCCCTCTACCTGGCCTGCTGGGAGTTCACCTGCTACAACAAGCTGTCCTGGGTCAGGCTTCCTCTTACACATAGTCACAAATAATTTCTACTACAAAAGCACATAACCTTTCTAAAAAGTTAAAAGGAAAATACGGCAACACTGTTGATAGTAAATTAGCTGAATGATAGTAAATGCTATATATTGACCTAAATCTGTCCATAGAGCAATTCAGTCTGTGCGTACATCTACCAGCATGCATTGCGCAAAAGCCTCTGAATCCTGGAGACCTTGCGAGCCATAACCTTTTGCATTTCTTCAGCCAGACACTAGAATAAATATGGCTGAATATCAGAGAAAGCCAGCACACTGTTAAGAGTATCCTCGTCAATAACATCCTCTGCACTCATATCTTAAGATGCCATGGACACAGTTCGCAATACAAGCAAAGAGATCAAGGACAAATAAAGCACTTTTTGAACATTAAAGCATGTAAACATGTCACAAAATATATACTATGGACCTGAAAATGAGCATAATAGGCCCCCTTTAATGTATTAATGAACTCATCAGGGAATCGTTGTTGCTCTGTTTATATTTCTCCTTGTCTTGACAGGAGTTTTGTGACGCCTGGCTGGCGCAGGACACCGATAAAGCTCGCTTCATGGCCCGGATCTTCCGCCACAGCATCGAGGCGTCTCAAAGCGAGCGCCTGCAGAAGGAGTTTGTCGCCGGTACAGGTTTCGTTTCCTGTGACTCGTACGCCATGGCAGCCGCCGTGGACGACTCTTTCATCACAGAGAGCGACCATTACCCGGTGAGCGTGGAGCTGACGGGAACACACACCAGAGGCATGATGATAATGGACACCGTGGGCTTCCTGAAGAAGGAGCGCAAGGCTTTTATCATGAAGAAGGTGGATATGGAGAAGTTCAAGCAGATGATGATAGCTGCTTTAAAATAACAGCTTTAAACACTCTACGTTAATGACAAGACGTCACTTTGTCCGTCCACACATTTTGGCTAATTTCTCTATTTGTGTTTTTAGTAATAAGGCAATATATTGTATTTAAACTTCTGCTACTAACTACAAACTGTGACTTTGCTTTGTCTTTAGCAGGAAGGATGTAATACTAATTTTGTACCATGCAATTTTAACGCTTAAGATTTACTAGTAGGGCTTAAAACGTTTTACAAATATATACAATTGTGATTATTTTGACCGATATTCCAATAATATTATAGGAATGATATCCTAATTTTCATTGAAAATAAACAAAAATAAATATGGTTTGAATTTTGCAGCGGTCTGTACAGAATAATTAGTTTATTGTGTCTGTAGAATATGACGTGTAAACCAAGACATCTTTGAAGCACTACAGTATTGAAAAATATATTTTGATACACATTTCCCTCGATCAATTATTGGCTAAAGTGCGATTTCTGTTACATTTCCATGAGTTGTTCAGTCCACTTTCTACCTCAATTGTATGACAGTGTTTTCATAATGCATATACATGGTATGTCAGAAGATGTTTGATAACAACACATCATTACAATTTGAATAAGAACTCTTTATTTTGTACTATTTCTTTAATTACATCAACTCGTAGCACAAACACCACACTCAATCATTCAAAAAAAGCTCCCGTGTTATTCAGCGCTTCATGTTGCTTGTGTCAGATTAACGTTAGGTAGACCTTTACTACCCACTTTTTTTTGACACATTTCAGATGAGGTTGCACATCCTCAGACTAGTGAGCCGCGCTGATGAATGATTTAATAAATACAAGTATTTACAGATGTCCAGGGTCCAGTCCTCAATATCCTTTCCTTCCTCTGAACCGCGACCGTGTGTCAATCTGTAAAAAGAAAAGACAGAATTTAATTGAATCATTCTCTGTTTTGGATATAATATAATAATATGATTTATGTCTCGTTCTGCTTCTGACCACTTTGGGAACACACAGCTAGCAGTCACAGCAGGAAAGAGGAAGGAAAACATTCCCTCTACTCCTTATTCTTCCCCTTTCTTTCACTTTGTAGTTTCACAAGTGCTTTGATGTCATTACCGATGACTTACCATAGACCTCTTGCACTCGAAGAAGGACGTCTGCAGGGCTCTGCAGTGGCCTTCCTTCAGACACTCACTGGGCATCTTCCCCTCCTGACAAAATCAGAAACCAGTTAGAATACACTGGACCCTCCCATGAGCAAAACATGCATTCCCTCCCACAAATGCAGTATTTGATCTCGTTGCACTAACTTCCTCAGTTGGAAATGTTGTTTTATCTTAGTTAGGGACGACATTTGAGGATTGTTGGTATCACAGAGACATATTTCCTATCTACACTTAGTGAAACAATCCTTTTTGATCTCTGGATAGGATAATTTAGCTATTATAGAAACATCATTAAGGGATTTGACTAAAAAGTATGACATTTCCCTGCAAAATGTAGTGGATTAGAAGTATAAAGTAGCAAGTAAAGTACAAATATGTAAAAAGTACTTGAGTAAAATTACCTCAGAATGATTGTCAACCACTGGTTCATTAAGATAACTGGTATTATCTAGGTTTATTATTATGTTTTATAATTATGATGTATTTCCTAATGTTGAGTATATGTCTGAATGTTTGAATATTAAGTTCCGGATGTACAAAAATCGGGTAAAGTTATTAATAGGGTGACGGTTACATATTATACTGCCTATGGCCGGGTTAGGGGTCGGGCTGCTCAATTAATCGTATTTTAATCGCAATTACGATTATGGTTTGCAACGATTACGAAAACAACGTAGGCCTAATCGAAATAAAACGATTATTCTTTTATTATTATTATTACTTTATTGGTTTTTCAGTTTAAATTATACTTAAAGTTCAGGGTAATCAACTGTTAAAAACCTACTGTTAAAAAAAAATGTCTCCAATAAATTGATGTTTTCAAAGTAAATGGATAATCGTTTATAATAATCGTGATATCAATTATTGACCCAAATAATCGAGATTATGATTATTGCCATAATCGAGCAGCCCTAGTTAGGGGGGAAATAAATACGTTTTCCATGGGACTTTGATAAAGCAAATTATTTAAGGGTTATCTTATCTGTTAACCTTTAACTAAGTAATTACAACACGTTGAACTTGAATGTTTGTATCTCTAGAGGACATTTTCCTACCTTCACCACGCAGTCGTGCTGCATCAGGCAGGCCTTGAAGTCCTCTCGGACGCCGGAGCAGGCCCGGCCGTCCTCCTCTTTTTCGTCGTAGTACTTCGGCATGGTGCAGACTCCACTTTAACACCAGTTATTCCTTTCATACATTCACAACTACAACAACGTGCTAACAGTGACACAACCAATGTTATGGAAGCTCTCAGCCACCATGTTTCTGAAAGTGCATGACGGGTAAACGGAAGTACGTCGCGCTGAGAATTGCATGCTGGGAAGGTTTGTAGTTTTTTTTTTACAGATCAATAATTCGTGTGTAAATGTTAATGTTAAACACCTTCCACAAATGTAAAAAAAAAGTGTAAACACACAGAAATATAAACAAATATGTGCACATACAGAAAGAAATTCCACACATAAAAATGAAATCCGTGAATACTCAAATTAATTTACAAATACACAAAGAACATTTGTAAATATATATTCAACATACAGATAATTGATCTGTTCAAACTGTTTATATATACAGTCTATGGTTCAAACACATTTGACCTCGATAGTTGTTTTATAAACATTTTGCAGACCAATCCTGATCCATGTGTGGAAAAACTACATCAAATAAGCTTTGTGGTTATATTTGCAATAGATTTACTTTCCCTTTTTCTTTACAGCTGTTCTGGAATCTGGTGATACCGATGGCATGAGAAATGCACGTGGAACAACATAACACAGAAAAAGAATGGCCATGACTTCCAACAACTTTTATCTTTTATTTCAAAGATGTCCATGAAAAATGATGTCAAACATCAGCGGCAGGCATACACATGTACATGATGAAGGCACATGAACTGATGGGGGTGTGGGTTTGTTTTTAATCAAGGGGAAGAGTTCCTTTCATTGTTATTTCTCATGTCCACTTTAAACAATTAAAGTAAGGGGGGTCATAAGGAGATTAATGAGCGTTTATGCTGCTTTCATGCATTCAGTCTGTGGGTCCAGGACAAGAGCGGAAAGCAAGTCCTGTTATTAGTACTGAAAATGACTTCACACTTTTAAAATCATGTCCACCATTCAGCTCTCATCTTCTCACAATTACAAAAAAAAGACTGATGAAGAGGTGGCTGAGACAAGAAATAATAATCATGCACATGAACAGCATGACTAGGAAAAAACAATTCCACTAAAAGGCACTTCACTTTCCCCTTCGATAAACCACTAACATGTCAAATGAGTGAAATTCATCCACTCATAATATTGGCCACACACACACACAAACACAAAACATGTCGACTGAATTTCAATAAACTATGAAATGAGGCATAACAGAGAGTGAGGGAAATAAAGAGAGATAATGCTCATTGCTTTTTATATATATTTACAATCAGTGAAAGAACTACACAACCTCAGTCAAATCTTACAACAAAAGGCGCAATCATCAGTAGTCATAATATTCTGTCCAATCAAAAAACAGATACTTGATTGAACAAAATAGTTTGTCATATAGATTTGGAGGAATCAGTGAAATGAACTAAGGGAAGATGGGACATTTAAGTACAATGGTGAAAAGTGTGATGGCAACAAAAAAAGTGAAAAAAGCAGTGCAAATCACGCTGTTTCAGAACAAACACCCCCCTTTTTTAACCGCTTTCACTCAGATGTTGATCTAAACATCCAGTAACTTATTTGACTGTGTATATTATTTTAAAAATATTAGTATATCCAGCAATCAAAGTGTAGGCAAGAGTGAGAGATTGGAATAATGTTGCTGAGACAATTTCAAGGGACCTGGATTTAAGGCACAATTTTTTTTCTAATTTTGACCCACAACTTCTTCAACAGAATCTATTCTCAACTCTCTTACCATTCAGTCTTTAAGAAGTGAAATTAAATTCAAACGTTTCGCTTCAAGTGAAAAGAACTGACCCGAGCACCTGCAGACAAAAGTTTGCAAGTAGCTGCAATAATGAAAGAAAATGTATAATAGCAATTTAGGCAACAAACACAACAGGACACAAATAAAAACAGACTCTGAACTACCATAAACATCTCTCAATAGAATAAAAATATATTTTACCTCTTGTACAAATTAAAGATTTATTTCAAATAAATTAAGTCACCTTCATAGATCGTCATAGCTCTATAATAATATATCAATATATTCCTTCGGGAAAATGACGCCAAGGCAATGTCTGATTGGTTTACTGTAAATGGACGCTGAGGTCACATGGCCCGTCAGACAGGAGCTGAGATATGGTGTCATGGAACTTATTCTCTCAACGTATCGGGGTACCTCAGAAAGTGGCCTACAGTTTAGTCAAAGTTGTTACTGACTGGCTACAGGCAGGATTTTGGAACAAGCTCGTCCTGAGTGTGTGTTTCAGGACAAGTGGAGTATTTGAAGTGTGTCGGACAATACTCTGGGAGCGAGGGAAACATTGTTTGGGCTGGTGTTAATCTGGAGCTCCGTCATCTCTGTCGGGAACAGAGCGACTGGCCGTTAGCGATGACAACATTCTCCATCATCGAGGGCTGTTTTTGCTGAGGCGTTAGTGACAGTGCAATGCCCCAGCTGGCCCGAAGGTGGCAGCATTGAGTCACAGGAGGAGGAGGGTTTGGCAGCATCACACCACCGCTTCTCCCCAGATGTGATGATTTGTCCTCGTTTGTCCTTTTTTTCTGATTGGGTTCAAAGCCGCTGAGCAACACAGAGACTTTGAGAGCCGGAGCAGAATGCCTTCACGCACTCCGCCGCTGTTCTTCAGGACAGTAGTATTCACATTCTCAAGAAATGAATTAAGAGCACAAGAGTGAGGGAGAGATGCAGAGAGAAATGGAGGAATCGATCGACGGGAAGCGAAAAACAAAACAAACGGACGAAGATCAGGGTACAGGGAGGCGGCGCTCCTCAGACAGCGGGCTCGGATGACTTCACTGCTGGTTGCTAGGCGCCAGAGGCCCTGCGTAAGCAATCGAGGAGAGTCTGGTCCCCCGGGGGGGCCGTGATTCATGATCCAGAGTCAGCCTGCCATCCTCTTTATATGTATCTGCAGGAGAGCGTTACATGTGTTATTAGTTGAAAACATTGAGGCAGAATGCATCTTGAGAAAGTGGTGTTAAATGTGATTTGACAGGAGAGGAACAGGTGTGTGTTTGGCTCACTTCACTGAGGATGGCCCACACTGCCGAGTCTTTGATGACCGAGAGCCGCAGAGCGATGATGGGATTGAAAGAAGGATCCACGACTCCCTCTGCCACACCCTTCTCAAACTGACCTGTGGGTTCAAGCAGACACAAAGACAATATTAGGGACAGGAGAGCCCAGTGCTAATGATTAACACTGGGTGCTGAAGTGAGAGGGAAACATTAACTGGCTCACTGGAAGAATATTAACTTCATGTTTCGGCACATGGCCTTAATCACCTCACCTGAATACCCAGTCACTGACTTATGCACTTAAAGGGGACCTATCATGCAAAATGCACTTTTGTACGTCTTTTATACATGAATATGTGTCCCCGGTGTTCCAGGGAACTCACCAAGTGTCAGAAAACACAACCCTCTCTATTTTCCTCCATACCCAAATCTCTAAAAAAGGGGCTGCAACGGATCTGATAAAAACTGATCCAGATTTGAACACTGTCCTGACGTCAGGACGGTTACGGCTATTGGGCCAACTCCACCAATCAGGAGGAGACAGCCACGGCCATTGCCGTTCGAAAGCGCTGGAGACGCTGTAGTACATATGCCAGGCCAGTAGATGGTGCTGTTCTCACTGAATCAGCCCTTGCAAAAACAGAGCTAACATTTTTCAAATTGAGCGAAATGAGGCATGGCTAAAATGCATGATCTGTTTGGTATTTTGAAAAAAAAAAAGTATAAATATGCCTTATATAGGTATGGTCCTACACTATATTATTCAAATATAGCATGATAGGTCCACTTTAAGTTGTATTTACTTATCTGTATTAATAAAACAGCTATATTTCCCCTGGTGTACTTACACTTATTTATATACGTTTTAAAATAGTCTATACAGTAGTTTGTTCATTAATCTGTCTATAGTGTTTATATTAAACTGTCTATGTTTATACCTGTTCTATAGTGAATTCAATGTATATACCACTGTTTATAGTGTATATTCTGCTACATACTGTTCATACTCTATTTACTTAAACATTTTATATCTGTCTTAGATTATACTATGAATTACACTGCACTTCACTGCTTTTTCCCCCCGCACATAGCAATTTTGTTGTATCAGTTTGTGTACTCTGCAATGACAATACATTTTAATCTAATCAAATGTTTTAATTGTATTGTTATTTTATTCTGTTTCTGACATTCGTTATTATTTATTCTTATTGATCCTTGTGTGAACTCTTACCTGTCCTATCCTTTGTTCTAAATGTTTGCCTGTTGCTGCTTTAATACCCGAGTTCCCCTACAGGGATCAATTCATTTATCTAAATCACATCCACAAGGAACATTTAAACGAAAAAGGTATGAAAGTAGAATCTTATTAGAATATTGTCAGCAAAAATATAAAGACTTAAAACGACTCCAGGAAGAGCAGAAAAACGTTGGAAGTTAGGAAAAATGGAAAAAGGCCGTGACGGAGAAAACATAAACATTTTTGAAGACTTTCTATCAATGTAGTCATCATCAGTGTGAGTGTGTAATCTGATCAGACTCACCGATCCTGTAAAAGCGGTCTTCAGTTCGCTTGTACTTTTCTTTGGCCTGAAGTCCTGGTACCTAACATGTAGAGCACAGTCAAATAAATGAGAGACACAAACAACTTTTTTAATGATTTCTCATTTACGCAGCACTTTAAACGGATGCTAACATGTGAGCCTGCACAGGGAGTGTGAACCTCAGCGTCAGGATGTATCGCTTCGGGCGCAGCAACGATTCTGTCATGCTCACATTGCTGTCAATAATCAATATGCTACGTGCCTAAGAGCAACCACTCAATGTAATTAAATCAAAACTGTTAGCACATCACACCAGAAGGGTGACAGTGTGTGTGTGTGTGTGTATGTGTGTGTGTGTGTGTGTGTGTTCCTACCGAAACAGGCAGTATTTCCACGGTGGTGTTCTCGATTTTGTCACCCGGGTGCTCTTGGTTGCCACTGCGGAACAGGAACCTGCCAATCAGATCAAACATTAGTTTTAATATTTACATTCATAGAAAAGCATTCTTGCACATTTCCCCTCGTGGTAGTTCATCAAGACACTTGTGGATGGTTAATTAGGAAAATTGTGTTCATGAAATAAATTGTTGTGTAAGTGCACTTCTTTCATTTAATCGAGGGTTAACTGTCAGTCGGATATATTTTCAATGCGTTTGGTTCTTAGATCTCATATGCAGGTCATAGCTACAGGTTTTGAACATTAATGATTGCATTGCCTTTTTAGCCAGCTTAGGAATCTCAATAGATTTCGGAGGATGATTTGAATTCAAGAAGCGTGGGCACAGATTGAAACGTGAGCTTCACTTAAGAAAGGTTGGAGGATTCAAGGAAGAAAAGGACGATCATGCTTTCCTTACTTTACCTGAAACAAGGCCGATTTCAGTTTGAGTTTTAACTTGTAGAAAACAAGGTTGCTACACATTTTGGTCAATTGATTTCCATGACTTATAGTAACAGTTTCCTTACCAGACATTCTGTGAAGGTATATAGTATCAATGATAAAGTTAGTGTTCAATCAGCCAGCAATCAGACACAGACACTATAACTGATATTTATGCTTATGGAGAAATAAGTGTTGTACATGTGCTGTGTCCTGCTTCTGCCCGTTGGGATATAATTGAAATAACAGAACAATAAAAACATATAGTTCCAGAACATTTTTACTGAATCAATAACTTTCCAGAACAGTTTGGTTGAATTACATAACCTTTTTCAGTTTTTTCCCGACCCTATGAACGCTTTAAATTGTTAGCAGATAGTAGGAGGCAGAGAAAGTATGTCGGATCATAAAGAACGCAAAGCAGTCTGTATCTCTCGGCCAACTGCTGATCAGATGTTTTCTAATCAGCAGAGCAAAAAGAGTCTGAGTCGGTATTATTGCTGTCATTCAAAAGCACACAAAACACTCTGAGTCAGAGAGAGAAAGACGAGGCGGCCTTTTCTCGCTCACAGCCACTTAGTAGCCGATTGATCGACAGTCTCGTGGTCCAAACATTATCTTTACGAGTGCAATGAATTCACTCATCACCATAAAATGAATCTCCACATGACCAAATCTGAACATCCCCTTTCCGCTGCTGTGACGTTTTTCGCAATCAGATCTCTTTATATTCCCTGTCTTTCTCCCACCTTCTCCACGGCTCCACAGGGAGTAGGAGGCTGACCCGAGGAAGCTTATTTTAGAGCACTCTCATTAGCTCAGCCGGATCCCTGAAGAGACACACTCTCACACACACACACACACACAGTGAAGCTCAACCTGAAGCACTAAATGGCAGGAGGCAGAGGAAAGCGAGAAGACAGATTTCTGCATGTGCTTTCATTGCCAACATTATTATAATACATGTATGCTAATCATATTATTTCAACAGATGACACTCAGATAAAGCCCTTTATACATACTTCTCTATGCTAACAGGTCGGTCAAATTTGAAGAGGATGTAGTCTCCTGCTTTCGGAGTGATGGACCAGAAGAAGTCCTCTCCCAGGTACGTCTTCTCCAGCGTGTGACCCTGGTACACCTGTGTGACACATGACATGTTTCGTCCCACCCTAATCACTGATTGTAAAGCTGAGAGACATTGTGTTCAATTAATCATTAATATTTGTATGAACTAGGCTGAAGCTTTATTACAGAGACTTCCTTATTTTAAGATCCAATCTACCGCTGATAACAAAGGTGATCAGGTTTAGGACCTGATTTGGAAATAGTAATCATAGATAGTCATTGTTTCTATCCTTACAACTAAGATATAAAAAGGGGTTTACATAAGCATCCTACATTTTAGATAAACTCACCTAATTTTGGACACATTTATTTTATTTAACCAACTAAATGCTGACCGGTGGAATTGAATCACAGAGAGGATTAAAGCAGGCACAAAGGATACGGTTTGATGATGAAACCCTCATTATCAGATGCAGGCTATCCCTTCAATGATGCTACAGACACGTGTAACTCATCTGACTTTCAGCTAAGTGCCTTGTTTTTGCTTAATTTTAAGTGTGTTTTCATGTATGTTTAAATTACACAAACATTGGTTATAAAGTATTTTAGCTCGGAGAGATGTGAAAGGTAGCATTGGTTACTTTGTAACAGACATTAAAGCTGATGTCGGATTGATTATTTTTATGTTTTAAGCTGAGATAAGATTGAATCACAGGATCAAAGTAAGATAGTTTTTTAAGAGCAAATAGGGGATTATTCCTATCTTAACTTCAGACTTTCAAGACAGGTAGGTTTCTATAAAACAGCCTCAGAAAACTATAAAGTAAAGTCAGAGACCCTGCAATGATACCTTCACTGAAGTGGAAACCTCCGCTGGGGGGTTGACGTGCATCTTGTGGAGCAGAGGCTTCAGGAAATCCTTGTCCTGTAGACACATATAGATGGGATATTCTTTTTATTTTTTTTATTTATTCTACTAATTCATCCAAAAAAGAAAAAAGTATAATTCATACACACAAAGATAAACAAAATTAGTAGAAGAGGGCTGAAGCATAGCTTATAGGAAGTAGCCCTCCCGTGAATCATCCGAATAAAACATTGGCATTATTGCGTCAAAAACGTATAGAAATTAAGGAGTACAAAGAAATAAAGAAAAACTAGGGAAAAAATAAATTGAAGTTAGGGAAAAATAAATAAATGCATATATATATATACATATATATATGAAAACTAGATATAGGGTCATTTTCTGCACATGTCAATAGCAGTTGACTATCTTTTTTGAAAAGGAAAATACTATATATAAAAATATATATATGTACACATGTACTTGGCAAATAAATAATAATAATATATGCATATAAACATTGTGAACACTTATTTTCAAGTGACTTTTTTTACATTCATATGTTCACACATACACAAAATATACATAAGCACTATATGTTCAGGTGTATAAGTACACAAATGCACTCATATACACCAATACAAATATTACAAGGCAATTTCCAGGGCTGAAATAATAATTCAACCGCATAACGATGAAAATAAATAAGAGGTAAAAAATAAATAAAAAGTAATGTAAACAATATTAAAGGTAGGGTAGGTAATTTTGGAGAAACCAGCTCGAGTGCGCTAGAATTTGAAAATACACAGCCGGAAAAAATCTGCCACTTCCTTACAGAGCCCCTCCTCCAACACACACGAATGCGCACATAACCAATGAGGGCATGAGATAAGTTTGTGCACGAGATGGAAGGCTGACAGGCAGGTAGGCCATCCAGTTATTTTAGCCGGGCCGGCTAAGATGATTGGTCGTGCTTTTTACAGTACTACGGCTTCCACAGATTACATTTTTTTATGGATTTTTTGTCAAAGCACTTAAGATATTCATTGCTTTCGGGATGTTAAGAGCATTCCATGGAATATAACAAAAAGTGTATCTCGAGCCGGTTTCTCAAACTTACCTACCCCACCTTTAAATAAATAAACAAACTGAGAAGTTATTATTTAAAAAAAAAAAAATTGATTCTGGGAATACCCAATATTTGTTAGCTGGAGTAATCTGCAAATACACCTTTTTTTTTTATTTAGTTTTGAACTATTATATTAACATTTCTATACAGAAAGACGCTTCTAATGTTGATGAAAATGTATGAACGCAGGGCCGTGAGACTCACTGTGAGTTTCTGGATCTTTCCAGCAAGAGAAGAATGGAGTCCCACGTGTTGAAACAGGGAGGGTCTGAAGCGCACACGCAGGCTGGACTTCTGCCGCTCGCAGTGTTTCTATAAAAAATACAGGGAGGATTGATGAAACCTAAACTCCTTACAATGTCACTTACTTATAAATCTATACAGTGGCCTCAGTGCATACCGCATCTTTCTCCGGGTTGCAGACTTTGACCCACAGGATGTGGTCCAGCAGCCAATCGATGGGCTTCTCCTTGTAGAACATGAAGATGAACTCAACAATGAGGTTCAGGTCCGGAGCCTGGAACATTTTTCCTGGAGGAAAGAGAGAATAAGGAAGGTTTATGGACATGCATTGATTCTGCACAGCGTCATTAAAGACAAGACGAATACAAAAAGGGATGTAGGGAGTTGCTACATATGGATTTGCTATTCCCTGCCAAATCGTGGTACTTTACAATGACCCAATTTCTACACTGATCTCTCTCTCTCTTCCATCCACGGTGCATTTGACTGCGTTTGATCAAAATTCTGTCAAGTCTGTTTCAGATTTGTTTTTGTATTTAAAGTTAGTTAGAGTAATTTTACCTGATATGTATGTATATGAAAAATAATCAATCAATCATACATGAAAGAAATACATATCCATTTTGTATATGGGTGATTACTTATTAATCACCAACAGAAGAAAGTCTTTACTTCATAACAACATAGTGAGCCACAAACACCCCCCCAGGATTGTCACCTATTGATAAATCCAACAAGTATTTCTGCATTTGAGTACTTTGCCAAGTGCATTTCTAAATCCTGAGTTAAGAGAATGAGTAAATAATCACTTTTGAGAGACCATTTAGCCAGGAAATGAAACTTTTTGGCTTTCAAATAATGCTCCATTTGACAGATCCCCCCCTGTGGATGCAGTGTATTGATCATGTGCTAAACGGGTCGTACCAATAAAGCCCAGCTGAGAAAACTCCAGGATCATCCAGTCCTCCGACGAGAGCTGCAGGGCAAAGTTCTTCATGGTGGCAAAGTAGTTAGGCTTGGCCACGATGTCATCCTCCAGCTGAAGAACAAAACAGGAGGAAATTAGTTGAGGTTGCTGATGGAGACAGTGGGAATCAGTGTTAATTTTGGCAGCTGTTTTTGATTTAGTCTTAGTCTTAGTCTTTAGACGAAAATGGTTATTAGTTTTAGTCACATTTTAGTCATTTCCATCCTTCATAATTTTAGTCTAGTTTTAGTCGACGAAAACTCAAAACGTTTTAGTCTAGTTTTAGTCGACGAAAACTCAAAACGTTTTAGTCTACTTTTAGTCGATGAAAAAATACATTTTAGTCAACTTTTAGTCCAAATGTTTTCTCTCTTTAAACCAATTCAGTTAGGCAAATACAGGTATCTGAAATTGTAATCAAGGTGACAGCATCAAGTGTTGAAATTCGTAAAGCAACATTTCACTCTCTTAACACTTTACTTGTGTAATATCTAGGGATGGGTATCGCTAAGGTTTTCTACGGTACTACTGGTCTTATCAATACTGCTTATCGATCCGGTACTTTAACGGTATTCTTGTATTTACTTTTTGTTATTTTTTAAAGGAAAAAACTAACAAATTGTTAACCTAATTAATTGCTTTATTTAAATGTGAAATAAATGAAATATATATAATTATGTTAAAATATTGTACTGTACTTGAGTAAAATGTTGAGGTACTTGTACTTTACTGGAGTATTTAAATGTTTTGCTACTGTGTACTTCTACTCCACTACAGTTCATAGTTAAATGGTGTACTTTTACTCCACTACATGTATTTAATACCTTTAGTTACTTTACAGATCTGGATGAATGATGTGAAATATAATCAAGTGTTAAATCAGACTTTAGTTCCACCTGGAGTAAATTCACAAGCTACCCTGCAGTATACAAAGTCATTCAAACTAGCTGCACCTTTACTAGCTTTGAGAACACTTTAATGATCAATCATTATAAAACATATCATATATATTATTCTGAAATGGACCAATCTGCACAATGACTACTTTTACTGTCGCTACTTTAAATATGTTTTGATGATCATACTTTGACTTGAGGAACTCTTCCTACACTATGGTATTTTTTTACTTAGCTACAAGATCTGAGTACTTCTCCCACCTCTGCACACCTGATGTGATAACGTTACTCGTAATTGGGGCAACAGAGCTACGAGTTAAGGAAGTCGAAAATTGTGCATTTCTTCGATTGAATATGACGCCTTTTGGCCGGCTGTTTGGACAGACTACTCTACTCGTGTCAACGCGCTAACGCGAAAACATGGCAAACGAGCTTTGTCCACATCGAGCCTTGTAGAGTGTCTCTATACTTCTGAACGCTCCGTCCCCGGCAGATCTCTGTGTGCCGCTGCAGCGTGTCTGTTAGGCCCCGCCCCCCGCACACACAGAGAGAGACAGGGAGATCGCTCTTCTGGAGTGAAGAGAGCGGAAATAATGATATTGCAAGTTAGAAATGTAAGATGCATTTTGACAGACAAGACGGGCAATTGTGGGGAAATACCCTGCATTTTGAATGTCCGATAGTCCACCATTAACACCTTAGTCCCGTCTCGTCTCGTCAACGAAAACTAAATATACATTTCGTCAAATTTTCGTTATCAAGAATCTATTTTTAGCTCGTCATCGTCTTGTCTTAGTCGTGTAAAAAAAGGTCGTTGACGAACATTTTTCGTCATAGTTTTCGTTGACGAAATTAACACTGGTGGGAATCAAGAAGGAGACTCCTCTACTCAAGGACAACCATGTGACCTGAGCTAGGAAACACTAAACACTAAACGACAGTAGCAGCAGAAGTCAGACAGGCAATACCTCTTCCCTCCGAGCAGAGAATGGAAAAGACACACGGCATGCATGAGACAGAAAGTTGGGAGATTAACAACACAAAACTGTGCATGGTGTGAGAGAAAACATTTATGGAAACATTCCCAAGTTAGGCGCCTAGTTTAACCAAGAGGAAACACTTAAGTGCTGTAGAAGTCTAAGAGGATTAGCCTGAGAGTAAGAGAAACTGGCTTCAGTCTAATGAAACAACACAGGCTCTGATGAATATCTGCAACAACACACATTTCATTTGGTATGTTTGCCCAGTAACAGGCTTCACGCTGACAAGTATCAGAGCCCTTCTTAAAATGCACTCCAACAAGTTGCTATGGGAACCTTTATTTTATTCATTTTTCTATTTAAAAGGACATACCTGGACATAATAAACTCCTTTGCTCACAGCATACATCATGAGGAAGGAGTAGTCCAGGTTCTGCTTGGTTCGCCATCTGAAAACAAAGAAGAAAGAGTTAACATAGAATACAACTATACATGAGTGAGATGGGGAAGGGAAGCACGAAAAGTTGAATTACATATTTTTAAAAGATATTTTCTTCCTCCGTCTGCTTTATTTCTCTTTTATCCTGTTCTCAAAATAAAATCCTATATGTTTTATATTTTCTGTTTACAATGGTAAACGTATAATCTTTGGCTGATGAAAACAAACAATAGACAATCAAATAATTCACAAAAGAGAAAGTAAACACATCTTACTGCCTTTGGGATAGACGGACTGCTTTCCATGCATAAAAAGCCCAATTATGCAAATCAGTTATTCTCAGGTACACTGAACCACAGACTCTACTTGAATAATTTATAAAGCAGCGCTGTCACGCTAATGGTTTGATCTGAACAATCTGCCCTTGTTGCAGCCTGACTTATAGCTGTTGTTCCCCGCAGGCTGCAGGTGTTTGTGATGCTGCCAGGGAGCAGGTGTGGAGGAAGGTGCACACACACCAACGCACACACACATTGTTTAAACTCAGCCAGGTGATCAAGTGTTGCTGCCGTTTTAGCTGTAAGGGCATCTAATACGCCTTTCTACCTCATTTACTTGGATGAAAGCACACACACACACAGACACACACATAAAATAAGTAGGGCTTCAGCTAACTATTATATAATAATTAAATAATCAAAATATTCAGTTTAAAGAGGCCCAATTAGGCTTTTTGTGGTTTTCTTTTTCCTGTAGTGTGTAATATAGGCTTTTGTGCATGTAAATGGTCTGCAAATCCCAAAGTTTCTCTCCCACACACTCCCTCCTTGCCTGAAACGCCTCCATGTATTACATCTGGAAACAGTTATTAAATAGTACAATTATGAAACCTGAAAATGAGCATAATAGGGCCACTTTAACATGATATAAAACAGCGAAAAGCAGGAAATCTCCGTTTTTACTCCGAGTGTGTAAACAAGTGTCTAAAATGTAATCTTTTAATAGAATAGTCCATGTCACACAAGGTCCGAACTGTTCAGCCATCAGATTAAATGTGTCCTCACGTCACCCATATCCAAACATAGCACACAGTCCTCTGGGCCTACAGTCTATTATCAGAGCACGTACTGCGAGTAGTTGGCACAAACTGCACGATAAGTACAGAGGATATAAAGAGGGAGCACTACAGGGAGAGAGAGATAGAGGGTGCTGCTGATGACCTTGATGTGACTTTGACAAATGCCTGTGGAATAACAAGTACCTCGGCCGCCTACCTTAAACCCCCCCCCCGCTCTCTCGCCTCCTCCCACTCCCCCCCCTGACTCATCTTTCCTGCAATCCTCATCACAGCTCTCCTGTATTTCATCTATCTAAGCGCTACATGATTACCATAAGGATCTTGATCACGTTTTTTCCTGATTGAATGTCAGAGCAGCGAAGACAGAGATAACACACATTCCTCGGCTGTGTGAGTTCTTACTTGACTCTCTCTTTGGAGTCTCCGAAAGTCTCCTTGAGGTTGGTGAGCTCGGGGTAATAGGCGGCGGGCGGGGAGATCACCTCCAGCAAGCCTGAACTCAGCTCTATAGAAAACCTGAAGAAAGAAGGGGATGTTGTTGAAAATGAAACACACCATTTTTTATCAATTTCATTCCTTTACACTTGTTCGCAAAAAAGATAGTGCGCCTGGCAGGAAGCAGAGAAGCCTAATGGAAGAAGTACTCAGATATTTTAGTTAATTATAAATGAATTAAATAAATAAATGTAATGAAATAATAAACTGAGAAATTCCAAGTCCTTCATTCAAAATGTTACTTGGTTCATAAGAATTATCATCAAGATTAACCTCAAGTACAAAGTGTAAAAGCACTTATTACGCATTATGGTCTATTTCCAAATAATTGTTTGTTTATGTTTTTATATTTGAATGTGTTTGTTGCCGATTGTGAATGTGGCGCTAGTTGTATTACTTTAGATACTACTGGCTAGCTTTTGATTTCACTCTAGGTCTAGGCCAAACAAAAGTGTTATTAATGTGTTGTTCATTGATCTAAATCTGCAAAGTAACTTAATTTATTACACAAAAAAAGTAAAATATTGACCTCTGAGATGTTTCGGAGAAGAATGTAAAGTAGAAGGAAATGGTAATACTCAAGTTCAGTACAAGAACCTCAAAATTGTACTAAAGTTTTAGAGTAGATGCAGAGAAGTGTACTCACTCTTTCTCCAGGCCAGCTACCACGCTGTTAACGTAGTCCACGTCAGTCTGCAGAGACACAACGACACATTATACACTCTGACCTTTGACCTTACACAGAGCGTGGTGCTATGACTCGTAATGGATGATTTTAAGATCTGACCTCCCCAACGTAGACGATAATGACGCAGTCGAGCTTCTCCTCCGGTGAGAGCTTGTCTATCAGCGAGCGCAGCGTCTCCGACAGGTAAGACTTCACCTTCCGCCTCACAGTGGGGATCCCCATCACCATGGTAACTGAGAAGAACAATAACAAGTGTGAGGTGAGAACAGGAAGTGGGGAAGGCTGCAGGGGTGGCGGTTTAATCAAATGGATCCAAAACCCTTATTATTCGCTTGTTAGACATCAGCTAATTACATTGGCCATAAAAACTGAAATTCATGCCCGGACTGACAGATGGCAGTGGGCAGAATGACTAATGCAGCTGCAATACCATTCTGCATGTTAATAACGAAAAGGGTTTTTAAATAACAATCTTACACAATGTGGCTAAAAGGGGCCCTATTATGCTCCTTGTTCAGGTTCATAATTATATTGTGTTTTTCTACTCTGACATGTCTCCATGCTTAAATGTTCAAAAAGCTCTTTATTTTTCTCATACTGCCTGTGCTGCAGCACCTCTTTTCACCCTCTGTCTGAAACCAGAGCCCAGTCTGCTCTGATTGGTTAGCTGGCCGGCTCTTTTGTGATTGGTCAACCGCTTACAGATGTCCCGCCCCTTAGCTTATCACGTACAATGTGTTGGAGCGCTCGCCAATTGAAGTGCAAGTGTTATATAGGGATTTCATTATGTAACAGAAGTAAACAAAGGAGTTTAATCAAGGCGTTTCAGGCAGGGAGGGAGTGTGTCACTGGAACACAACGTAGAGGCAGGATGTTTGGACTTTAGACAGAGGTAACACATACATTAACATATCTAGAGATCTGCCGAGCATTGCTAAATTATTTGATGAGCTTTTCCTATCTGCTAAGCAAACAAAGTCAGTCAGGCCAACGCCAAAAGAAAAGAGAAGCATACGTTGACAGAGGTATACATTACTTACTTATGAGCTGCACCTTTATTCAATTACTTTAAGTTTGTCTGATCCCTAAAATGTCAGAAAATAGTCATTGAAAACATTTTTTTCCAAGTCCAAGGTGGTGTCTTTATGTCTTGTTTTGTAAGACCAAACCCCCCAAAAGAATCAGTATAAATATAAAACAGAGAAAAGCAGGAAAACAGAAAACAGTCAGCATTTTTTCATAAAAATACTTTGATGAATAATCGATTAGCAAAATAGTTTGCGATTACTATCTACTCGAATAGTCGACCAATGGCTGCAGCTCTACGAAATTGAAACTGAAACAGGAAAAAGAGAATGCCTATTGTCTTCTTCCTATTGCTTGGTGGTAGTTGCTTCTAAACAAACGGCCTCTTCTTCAGTGGGGAGAGATTCCCCACAACAGACTGTTGTTGACATAAAACTAGTTCATTTTACCCACAAGGATACAAGGAGCACTTTCACGGGAGAGTAGAGAGAGTACAGCGAGCCCACAGTTGTGACCGCAGAAAACAACTTATCAGGCTGATCATCTGACACTGAATCAGTGTTTTCCTCATGATAAGGAAAAAAAAGTCCAGACAGAAGCATGAAAACGGCCATTTAGTCTGCTCGCTCTCTATTATATGCTCTGTTTTTCTTCCTTTATGGACAGTGTACTTTACTGAATTCTAAAACAAGGGATAGATTCTACTCAAGGCAGTTTTGCATAATTTATTCATATTAAACCCAAATGCTTTTCCAGAGAAACTGTTGATTATTGAAGGTCATGGTTGATTTTCATGGACGGGGGTTAATGTGTATACTGTATGTAAGTGTGTGTTTAATATGAGGTTAGAAAGGGGGGGGGAGCATGAGCTGATGGGGGGGCTTCAACAAAACACAGTCGGGGAACAGTTCAGAAGGAGTGAGCAGCGCAGGGGGCTGGAGAAAGGCTGCAGAGTGATGTGAGCAGCGTGGAGAATCTGTCCCAGTTTCGCTTTGTGTTTCTCACACTGAGCTCCGTGTCGTATAGCGACACCCACCACCAGCACCGAGAAAGTAGGTCGAGGATGAAAGCAGAACGTGGGAGGACGGAAAAGAGACGGAGAGTGACAGAATAAGGAGGGTGGCAGACAGGGACTGAGTGATAATGCATGCACTCCGACTCAAACATGGCCCCTCCCTGTGTCCCTCGATCAGCCTGGACGCTCCCATTCATGATGCTCAGATACAAAAAGGAAAAACAGTCAACATTTCTGTCTGCTGTTTGAAAAGAAATGAGATAAAGGAGCTGCTGTTCAGCTGGGTTTAATATGTCCAGCACATTTGTTTTCTTTGTAAAATGTCCTTAATAAGTTGAAAATACGTATTAATGATGAAATATTAGAAATAATAAATTAAAAAACATATCTATGTTTTATATATTTGTTACAGAAAATACATTATGTTATTGAAATTATTTATAATATTTAAAGAAAATAATAGATATATAAAATATGTGGGAATATTTAAGATATGTAGTTTATATTTATAATTAAATTAAAACTATAATTAGTAAAAGTTATAAAACATAAATACGTGTGGTTTTAGTGGCATATTTTTATGGAATTTCTTATGATACACAAACAATAACTATTTCAGGGGGTGGACATTGTTTTCCTTTTGTTTGAAGCAGGGTTTTAAAGCATATTTGATCGCCTTGTTGTGAACAAAATATATAATGTGTTTCCATAATCTAAATTATTTATTTAAATCAAACTACTGTTGAAGAAAGACTAAATTGTCATGCTTTGGGGTGATTCATGCATCACTGGGTCTCATGTTGTTTTGTTTATCTGCTTATGTATAAATGTTTTCCTCATAAAGAGCAGGGTTGTTGCTCGGGACGAGAAGCTTCCGGAGTAAATGGGTGCTATATTTAAATACAGTAGAAAATAAAAAAGCTTACAAAGCCGGAGGGACACTGTGTGTGTGTGTGTGTGAGAGAGAGCGAGAGCGAGAGCGAGAGCGAGTGTGTGTGTGTGTGTGTGTGTGTGTGTGTGTGTGTGTGTGTGTGTGTGTGTGTGTGTGTCTATAATCTACAACCCTAGTAGAAATCCTAATTTCCTTTTTGTAAAATTGGTCACGTCTCTCACAGACTCAATTTATAGTTTCTGGTTACTTAAGTAGTTCAGTCAATAAATTGAATCTCCAACATAAGAGGCCTGGTAAAGGAAAAAAAAAATCAGGCCATCAATAACCAGTCACAGCCATCATAAATCCAACCCCCCATGTTATGGGTTGAATCATCCAGACAGAAATGATGAGAGGGCAGAAACAGTAAGTAGGTTCTGTTTTGTGTTGGCTCTGCTGGTGTGACATTTAACAAAACAGCTTTACAGATGAAATGAAGAAATGTGTTCCTATCAAGTTGCAAATGCACAAATCCCAACAGGCATCCCAAAATGCCACATCTTACTGGTAAACCACTATTTTATTCTGATGTCAAAACACTTGGGCATCAGTTCAGATTTTAATGCTGCATTCACACATTTCCAGGTGAAATGCAACACCCACAGCTCTGCCATGCTTTACTGCTTGCAGCAGGAAAATAGAACCTTGTCCTATTTCTTTCCTCAGTGTGGCATTGCAGCAATGCAGCGAGCAACTCAGGGCCCAGACCTAAATAAAAAGAAGGTGTGTTTTTCTTTACTTCAAGGGGAAATCAGGGAGGGTTAGAAGCTCATGCTTGTGTTTGCCTTTGCATTTATAGACACTTTTCTGCACGAAGAATGAGGTTTGATATCCAAGGGACAACATCTAACACAAATGTTTGTAAGAAAACAGTGCCTTGGTGTATAAGGGGGGGGTTAGTGTGTTTTAGATTAGATGTTGTTGATTATATTGTGTTGATGAACAAACTTAGAAAACAACTTCTGCCTTTCAGACTGACGAGTTATCATTTCCTTATGGTGTGATAGCATTGGTAATATAATATGGGCTGACCAGCGAAGAAAGAAGAAGAAGGAGATTTGAGCCGACACTTCACAGTGACTGCGGCATAAGGATTACATTTTTTTGGAGAAAAATTGATTTTTTTAAGTGCAACTTGGGATATCTTTTATAGCTGGTCAGTTTAAATAAATGCCTTGAAACAAAAACACACACTGACTGTGTGTAAAGGGACCCAAGCATGGAGGAATAAAGATAACTGGATACAGAGTTTGAGGCAGGGCCCTGTTCATTCCTGGGAAAGTTGCTTAGTGGCGCATGAAGCCAAAGACAAACGATTTTGGGACTATATTTATATCTATTCCCTAGCCACTACTTAACATCAGGTCACGGCTCAGCTAGTCCCATGACTGGAAGCAGGGAAATAAATCTGGATTCAGCTCTCAGCTGAATGTTTTAGCTAAGGGTTTTTCAATTGTTCGTATTAGGAAGTTGATTTAACTCCAAATAATAAATAATACGCTCATTTAAAGACGGCTCTTCCCAATAGGGAAAAAGTATTTCTGGGATCCATGGCATCAAATGACACAGAAGTTGGAATTTCACCGTCTGGCCCAGATGAACATTTGCATCAAAGCCTGTACTGGTGCTCTTCCTGTGGGTTTAGGCACACCTTGGCCAGCTGGTTGTCTATAAAGGCCATGCAGTTTGTGTGTTTGGAACAAGCACGGCTGCATTCAGAATAACGCTCTTTTGTTGGTTTCTGTCTAAAAGGGGCTTCAGTCAGATCCTATTCCAACACTCTCAGTCTCAGAGGTTCTTTGAGCTGTTTTCTTCACATAATCCTTGTTCAATTTAAAGTGAGCTGCTGTCCTAATTTGCCGAGCTATAAATATCCCAATGTCAGATATGCTTAGACCAGCAGAGAAACAAGAGGAAAGTGAAACATTGAAAGAATTAGATGATGAAAAACAACGACTGACAGAAAAGAAAAAAAGGAAGCCTGACGGCATGGGGAATGCACCGGTGGTGGAGGGGAAACACTTCTATGAGACAGTTATGTGTTTTTGTGAATCCCCCCACCGCAGATATCGACAATCACTCCCCAGAATACCTCAAGCTTGGTTATGCATTCAAGTGAGCACCACTGATAGTGTTTAAGGGTGGGAAGCTGGTGAGAACAAAGCAGTGGCAAACAACAAACTTGGCATTATCAGAGGCTAGACGTTCTTTGAGGAAAGCCAAGACGAGGCTTAGAAAGGTAACAAATACCTGCCCGCCTGTCATAAAAGCAGACAGCATGATAATGGTTAAGAGAGGGCAATGAAAGGCCTTGCATCTATCCGTGGGTCCTGTGGGAATACCTTGCATTCATTGATCAAACAGGCTTAGGGTCAGGGACAAGAAACTCCTTTTCCCCCCCCAACTTATCCCTCCTTCCTTTCCTCTAATTTGGCTGGGGCCTCTGTGTCCCCCCCCCCCAGGTCATTGTCATTAGGAATGTGGGAACACCACTTGAGCTGTTCAGCCCCTGAACTCGAGCCCCACATTCACTCCCCCTATCACTCCCAATGCCAGATAAGTAATCCTCGAGAGAACCTGATATAGCAGAGGTCACATGCTGAACGCTGCTGTTTGAGGGGTGAACAATTCAAAATGGGGATGTTCAAAAGGAGAGTTAATGGAGAAAAGGAGAAAAGGAGATACATTATCCATGTGAAAGAGGAGGCTTATCAAAGACAGCATCTTTGACTTTTGTAAAAGCTGATTGTGAGTGTCTTGAATAAAGAAAACTAGTGATAACTCAAGAACTCAATGGCTCAAACCAATGCCACCCACCCTACATCAATGGTCAAAAAAGGGTTAATGAAAGTGTAGTCAAGTCTGTTTATATTATTAATGTACACAAGTAGGAATACACATTTTGTTTAAACAAATACTTAGCTAAGGAGTGTTTCCTATTGTACATTTGTGTTGAAGGTCACATCATTTTTTATTTATTTATTTTTTTACAATGCACCTTAGGTCCAATATAAGACCAATAAATTAAAGCAAAAGGGAAATCCTCTTAGATTAAGATAAGAGTTAAGATACACACCTTGTAAAGTAAATAAAGAATTACACTACAGACACTATAAAGTAATTATCTTCTCTAAAAAGATCCTATTACCAAGATCAGTCCAGAGGGGATACTTGTGAATGAGTCACCATTGAGGACTTGTTGAGACCCGACTCTCTCTCTCTGGTGTAATGAGCATCTCTGGAGAGTTTGCTGTGTTTGTGTAGTATGCATATTCTGGAGATGAAGCTCATTAATCAGGACAGTAACTGTTGCGTGCGTGTGCGCTGCTTACCTCCTGTGCGGCCCAGACCCACCTGCACGGCAGGGTGCAGGCTGCCCTCATTGTTGAGCAGGTGAGGCAGGTGGTGGTAGATGTTTGGCACCTGGAGGGGTCTCCTGTTGGAGAGCTCCTTCAGGAGTTTCTGTGTCTCATCTGAAAGCAGGGACACGTTTAGAGGACTCCGCTCCTCAGTTTCATTAAAGGATGACAGGAGTGGAATAATTATGCTGGCTTAAAAAGCACCACCTGTTAATGTGCTCCTGCTGTTGAATAAAACATTTTAAAAAGCACAATTCAGACTCCTTTAAGTGTAAATGAAAAAGCACTGGCAGCAGGATCTTCTATGCTTGTGACTTAATACATAGTGAACAAGGTTATACTGTATTTCTCTTAGGCAGAGCTCAGGATGTTTTGTACTAGTCCCCAGCAGCCATTAATAGGATGAAATAATCTAATCGAGTTTTTATTGTACATTGTGTGTATGTGTGTGCGTGTGTGTGTGTGTGTGTGTGTGTGTAAATTAGGTTATATAGGTTAATAGGTTATTCATTTTAAAATTGGCTAACAATGTGCAGCATAGGCTTAAAAAACAAAAGTGCAAACAAGACATTAACATTGTTATTTTAATCATGTGCCGTGGCGAGCAGTGAAATGGTCCTGTGATCGCTGTGTCCACAAAGTGGTTTTGTAGGTTTCACAGAAAGGCCTTTGAGAATCTGGTCATTCGGAAAATGAGCAAAGAAAATTTCCATTTCCATTACAAATGTGCTAGCTCTTAGAAAGAAAACGAAAGGTACTTCCCCTGAGCATTTTCTTTGATCTAATAAAATCAAGCCATCTTCATAACACTGTGTTACAATGGATTGAAACATAATAGCAGACAAAAAACTAAAAAGCCTTTGTAGGAGCTGCGTGTTTGTTGATTTTAAATTATACAACAAGGGTAAAGGATACTGCAAAAGAGGGATGGCGGGATTAGCTATGCTATTCAACACAAATGACTGAAAGTGATTACTTCACAGTGTACACGTTTAGTTAACAGGTCTTTGTATGCGTTTGTATGTCAGTTACCTGAGAAGTTTGTGAGAGCATCTTTGCTGCTGTTGGTCTCGGCGATGGCTCGTCTGAACTGCTCGAGGATGTTGTTGAGCTCCGACGAGCGCTGCAGCGTCCGGTGCTCGGCCACACGAAGGCGCTCTTTCAAGGCATGGAACTCCCGCTGGTACGCTATCAGCTTCTCTGTAAGGACACAAAAGGAAACCAATTGAGTGCATTAGAACAGGATTCGCTACATGGTCGTAGCTGGTCATCTACCAATCAGAGGGTCAGTGGTTTGATCCCCAGCCCATGCAGTCAACAAGTTGAAGTGTCCTTGGGCAAAATATTGAACCCCAGATTGCTAGAGCTGCTTTGTAAGTCACTTTGGAAGACAGTGTCTCGTAAATGATATGTAATGTACTATTTAAATTGCAGAAATTAGAAATAAAACAATGGTCCGACTAAGGTCCACTGCTAAGCTCAGAGAATCAGAAACAGGTTTATCGCCATGTAGGTTTACACATACAAGGAATTTATTCTGGTGAAATATTGATGATACTTTAACACAAGAAGAAGAATAAGTTATTAATAAGTAGTTGAGAAAATGTAGAACTATTATAAAACTGTTTTAAAAACTGGGAGCAGGGTTCAGCCACTAAGTAACAACACCTACAGAATAGGCATCATACACTTGTAACAATCTAATACTTGGAAGAAAAGAGAGTTACTCTATCATGGCGGTTTGAATCGTGTACATTGTGCAGCAACACAATGTATGCAATGACATTTATATTACACTGGCTCATCCAAGCAATCAATTTCAGCTTATATTTCCCTCTGGTGCTACTTTCCTGGGCAGAGCCAGAATGTCTCAAATTAAACTATTCAAGGATGATGAAAACTTTAAGCCAATGCAGCAGCAACACCATACAGAAGAATTGGCAGGACCCTACACAGAGCACTAAGATTAATAACAGGAAATGCTGAGAAATGTTAATATGAATGCTGATTTGGCATTGCATCAAAATACTGCTTGGATAACCATTCACGCTTCACTTGTTTGCATTCAAGTATGTATGCTCACGTGTTCAAACCGGTCCTATTTCACAATGCTTTAAAAAAAACACCCTAACTTTGGGTCCTCCCCAAACACTAATTGCCTTCACTGAGAATTTGCGTTTTAATGACCGAGTCTCTTTTCAGTTCAACCAGGTTTATTGCAGCACTTTGGATAAGAGCATTACGCCTGATGAGTACATTAAGACAAGCTGCGAAGGGAAGGGAGAGCACTTTTTATTTTACAACCAGATTTGTTATGATAGTACAGTTTACAGCACCTGTCGTGTCCCAAACCTGTTTTTAAAATTCCTAATGTCGTACCATATGATAATATTGTCAACAATGATACAGAAGCAGCTTTTTTGCTAATTTCAGCTACGTGTTTGTTATAGTGGAAATATTCTTTGAGGTTAGAGGCAGTTTACTGTAAACATGTGTGGGGAGAGCCTGGGCTCTTATCAGGAAACAGAAGTCTAGTGGTTGGTGTACGAGTGTAAAAGAAGATGTTGTGAAATTATTTGAAGAGGGAGTAGCTGTGGTGTGTTGGTGGGCTGAGACTAAACATGAATTCAATACACTGAAAACAGAACAGTGAGTCAGCATTAATGCTTATCTTACCTTACTTCTTGGACGTTTTTTTATGTTTGGGGTCTTTTCTTTTTTAGCATTTTTATAAATGTGTTTACCTGACATTTAAAATGTGCAACATAAATACACTTTATTATATACTTTTCTTTTTGATCCTCTTTTTTATAGGCAGAAATTAAATATACAAGACTTATCCCATACAACCAAAACGCGTATTCCTCTCAAATGTTGGTCACATATCTGTGAAAGATTGCCAAAGGCACTTCTCTTTCCTAATGAATGAATGAATCCTGTGTGACCAAAGAGTGCTCATCTGGAGCCCTAGTCATGTGAAATCTGTCGTTCAGAGTACCTCTTAAATGTGTATTTATAAATTTAAAGAAATCGGCACATTTTAGAGTGGCTTTTACTGTGACAGGCCCAAGTCCCACCCGGACACACAATCAGCATCTTGATATGAGACTCCTGTCAGGTGGATGGATAACGGTTGACTATCAGATTTGAACACGTGTCCACAAACATTAAAATAAACAAGCCTCTATATTAATAAAAATAGAGATGATTTAAAATCAAGAAGAATATGGGTGTGCCAGTCAGTGGAATACCTACAAAACAAGTCAAGAGTCAATATTAGCAGTAGAAAAAAAAATTGTTCCAAAACTGACAATCTTTCAGGGAGAGAACAAAGTACATCTCGAGTGTGTGTGTGTGTGTATATGTGTGTATCGGTGTGTGCATTAGGTGGGGCTGTGGGTTGGTCTCTGATCTTCCTCTGAAAGTAGATTTATCTTGCCCTTTCAGAGAGCCCTTCACTACAACAAAACCCAGCCTCACTTTATCTTCCCCTCTCAATCACTCTCTCTGACTGAGCTATTGTCCGTCCTCTCTGCCCAGTATCCTCTTTCACACAGAACCACGCTGTTCCTCCTAAATGTTGATCTCTAAGACACACAGACAGATGCTGTCATTTGGCCAAAAAACCTCATGAAAAGGGCAGCTTCAAACTAAAAACAGACTTTCATCTTCACGTGGGCCCTTTGATTGTAGGACTTCAGTCTTGTTGAGATGGGACCACACCTGTAATCCTACTGAGCAAAGAAACAAAGACACACCACAGGAACAGAAACGTGAAGTAGACAAGAGGCGCTTTCACACCGGAGTGCTTTTCCCAGCAACAGTTCCGCTAGTTCCTGCGAATTGCAAACCACGCCCAGTAAAACTCTGAAAAGTTTTGTGAAGCCGCCATTTTATTTGCTCGCATTAGCATTAGCATTAGCCCAGCGCACCAACGGAGAGAGACTAACTTATGGCAACACAAAATAAAACATGGGAGCGGTGGAGTGATGAGGAGGTGTCGGCGCTTCTGGCGATTTACCCAGGACTTCGGGTGGCAGTATACGCCGTGAAGTTGTTTGCGGCCTGCCAGTAAACCCAAAGCAGAAGAAGAAGAAGTGACGTCAGTGGCTTCATTTGCGTAATCCTCCCTCAGGGACTTATTCCGGTGTGAACGCGATCTACTAGATAGTTCAGGAATTAAAGAGTTCCGGGGAATTATGTTCCGGGAACTATTCCTGGGAAAAGCACTTGGTGTGAAAGCGCCTAAGGTTTCTATTGAGCTATATCTATCCCCTGTTCAGAAGCATAAGGTGGTGAAACAGTAGGTGATTTCCAAATATTGAGAAATATCACATTACCGTCAAAGGAAATGCCTCACTCATCACCTGAGCAGTCTGTTAATGCCAAGTCTGTTAGGCAATGTTTACTTGTAAATATCTTGACATTTCAGTTAAATGTCATTCTTGATATGCTTTGACTTAGTTGACCTTGACTTACTGCTGAAAAAACAAGGGACCATTTTTTTTTCTGTGGTATCAGCATAACATTTAAGTAATAGCAGGAACTACTCTGCTGGTATACAGGCAGCTGATGCATGATGGGTACACAAAATGCATTAAACAATTACCAGAGGTCTGCAGTACATCTATCGAATCTCATTATTCTTCTCTGCTCTCCAGAACCATGCGATGCGGGGGAAGGGCTAAGTGACTAACAAGCTCTCCTCTGCTTTCTCCTGTTTGCATCCAACCTGTTTCCTCACATGGTCTCACCCCTTTCTCTTAATTTCCGATATATGATATCGTTATAGTGTAGTCTATGTATTTAGCTTTCTACCCATCCATCCTGTGATACACTTGTTTTTTCTCTGTACCCATAGCCCTTGCTCTCCGTTGATAGATTGTCTTGACTTGTCATCCTTGATTTCTTTGCTCTGTTCTTTTGAATCATTAATAGAGATATGCGAGGCGGAGGCGGTCTGGCGATCTAGACATAGAGATTTTATTTTTCTATCTCTGATCTCTGGTCAGTAATTGCTATAAGCCTGTGGCATGGGTAGCTTGGGCCTGCAGATCTACTGAGCATAACACTCACAGACTAGGCCAACCTAATACTTTCAATATTAAGGGGTGTTACGAGTGGCCCTTACAAATTTGGACTGATCCCTCAAATGGTCATTGCCTCAGTCAAAAAACATTGAGTAGCTGAATGAGTATGAATGTGCAAGTATAACACTCGGTAGTCTGACTGCACACATTTTCGTACAGAATGTAGCAGCAGTTGGCATTACACTGTGACTTATTGTTCACCTAGCTCACCAAGGCTTGTCTGGCGGGTCTCGTGTTGATTCAGTGTAGTGGTGACGTGTCAATACAAACTGAGGAGGAAGGTGTCAGCAACACATCCTAAAGTGTCTCCAAGGTCTTTGGCATCATCGGCTTCTATTTATATCACAAAAACTGTGTAAGTGTTAATGTTGTCGGCATGTGAGCTTTGGGCACTTGTATAAAAAGCCTCTCAATCTCAGTCCCAGTATGACTCTGGTGGGAGGTATTGCAAGAGTTGAATATACTGTATAATGGCGGTTAAAACAAACACTCTTCAAAAGGAACCAGCTAAAAGCCTCACACTCAATCACAGACACACACACACACATTTCTGGCTCAAAGCTAATTCTGCTACTTATTATGGCATTTTTACAGAACATCTGAAGATAATGTGTTTATTTTCTTCTACCAAAAGTTCAGTTTTGGGTAAGAATGCTAATTTCTTTAAAGAGCTGATCAGTAAGCTTTAACTGGCTCCAGCTCTTCAATGGAAAATAGATGAGACGAGAAGTTTCCATGTGATGGTTGAATCTGTTAAAAGTTGAGGTTTAAACTTCCAACAGCTGTGTCTGTAGACTTCTTTAGGTCAAAACAAGAAGCCTGTGTTTGCTAATGTCTTAATGTAAGCTTCAAATACTCATTGTGTTTAGAAAGCTCCAAACAAATGAAGAACGTGCTTTTCCTCATACGTGTTAAGAACAACACATGGACTGTGTTCATGAACTGACTAGGTGTTCATGAATCTATAGGTTCCCCATGTAAACAATGTTTAAATAAACGTATTGATTAATCGTCACATCATCCCTGTTGTTGTACTTGTTATTGCACTGTGCTTACTCAAACTGACCCAGGTAATGGCCTTTAAGTGGTCTATCTGAAGATTAGATTTCA